CTTTAGGGAAGGCATAGCTTGCTTGGTGATCTGTAAAATAAATTGGTGGGAGACAGATGGAGGTGTCTCAGAGGCAAGTGTGAGGTGTCAGGATTGCACAGAAGTGTTCAAGTTGAGAGGAATTGAGAGCCTGCTTGATGGTTGCACTAGAGATGAAGAATAGATACCCCAGGAAGCATGTTGAGGGATGAAATGACAAATGGAATGGAAGGGATGAGGGCAAGAAGGAGTTTGAAACAACAGCTGTGTTTGGGGGACCTTAGAAAAGGCTGTTCCACTAATACACATGTACTTCCATCTAATGAGTTCTGTCTCAGCTTGATGTGGTTGAGGAGTGGGAGGCATCCTGGTGAGGACAAAGCCCAAGGTCTGGGAGGAAGCAAAGATGTTGGCGAGTGAACAGGGAGAGAAAAGAGAGGGTAGGAAGCCTGGAAACCTGGGTTCATGGTTTTTATTCCTTCAGTAATTGAGTTTGAATGCGGGGCCTCATGCTTGCTAGGCAGGCTCTCTATCATTTAAGCCATTCCCTCAACCCTTTTTCATTTAGTTATTTTTCACATAGTCTCCAGACTGGCCTGGACAATGATCCTCCTGATCATTGCCTTCTTCACAGCTGGGATGACAGTCATGAGCCACTGCACCCAGCCTCTGAGTTCAGGTTTTCAGAAAGGGAAAATCTCTGATATTTTCTGACATGTATGATGTGCTAGGACAGCATGTTTTGGTGACATCTTTGACAATAATGAGTAAAAATCATTTTCTGACAGATTGGATCATAAAAATGAGGGTGGGGAGGGCTAAGGACAAAGGTTCAAAGAGGGTAGATTAGGGTGGACAAAAGAGAAACTAATTAGGGAATTTAACATGTATTGCATGTACTTTAATGATCTTGTTATCAAACAGGGTTGCATTTTTTAAGGCATCTTCTCCCATTCTTGCCTTTTGGTTATGGGCCATGGGAAAGAAGCCATGAGGTGTCAGACAGGATGGAACCAGATATCCAAAGCTCAGCCTTCAGGCTAATGAAATATGGCCAGAGAATAAACATTCCTTTACATCACATTGTGCTCTCCCCGCCTTTACCCCTTAATGACCTAAGGGGTGGAGGAGCCATTGGAAACGCAAAGCAAAGTGCCAGGATGTGCTCAGCAAACATAGGGCAAGCAGTGTGGGCTGCTCTGCTAGTAAATGCAGTTCAGTGTCCTGATTACAGTCCTGCACCACCGGGCAGATACCCGTCAGGACATAAATTGCTGTAGGCACCTACAGTTTCTAAATTATTTGAGTGTTTTCTGATATTCATTTGCATTGCATGTACTTGATGACTTTCAAGGGTAAATTCTGGAGAGTCTTTTCCATGAGCAAAGTTGCATGCTGAAGAATAATAACAAGAGCCATAAATTTTCTCCTGTTTTATAAAGTTATTTCACAGGAAACAGGAGAGGAAAGGAAGTTGATGGCTTATTGGTGGCATGAGGATTGTTATTATTCTTTTTAATCTAAACTGAAATTAGAGATCCAGTGTTCAGGGCAATGCCTGTTGTTGGAGTTTGACCTGTTACCCTTCAATGGGTGACATAAGAAAGTACAGTGAGATCTCTAGAATGTTTTCCAAACTGTAAACTCTGACATGGCCTGACTAGGGATTTTTTTTCCTTCTTCTTCTAAGTCACGATTTCTAAGTTCCTACACAATTGTTGGATAATTGAGGATAATGAGCCAAGAGGTTAATTTCCTCCCACAACTGAGTTCTTTCTGCCTTCTGTCTCACTTCATCACTATGGCTGTAAGCTGACTTGCCAAGTTCTCCAGCCCAGTGCTAGGCGAGGGCATAAGAGGCTGGCTGTATTCTGGTTTTCTGTGAAGGCCAAACTGTGCTGTGGTCCTGCTTGATGCCATGGCTCACAGAAACAGATCGGTATTGAGGCCTACATTTCCTTCTGACACAACCATACTCCTTGTTCCAGGATGATTTATAAAAAGCTCAGGAACCTCTGCAACTTTCTTAGCTTAAGCATGATCTTAAAGTAACTTCTTGGTAGTCTATACTTCTCTGCGTTTTATCTTATGTCAGTGGAAATTCTTTACTAGTCTTGTCTTGGAGTAAGCATTCATAAACAAATGCAAACACTGTCATTTTAAGAAAGAATAATTGTAGATCTATAAAATAGATAAATTGTGTGCCTTATTTATACTTCCCAAACTGAGGGTCGCTTGTCATTACCTCTAGTAACATTCATTTTTAAATGTCATGTAAACCACTTTTTAAAATTATGAAAGCAATAAACATTGCATTTGTGTTTAAAATTGAACATTGTAGAAGGGTGTAGAATATAACATACTCATTCCCCATATTCCAGCCTTCAGCTACAGTCTCCAAAAGCAATCACTGTTAAAGTACCTTCAGTTTTTTTTGCATACATTTTTCAAAGCACAAACAATTTTCCTTATAGCTATACACACACTCATTTTACACAAATAGTCATAGTGTACAGACTGTTCTGTATTTTTCTTTTTTGGCCCCTTAAAATATCTGAGTTCTGTCTGTCAGCATGTATCAATCAGTTCATTCTTTTTAACAACTGCATGACATTTCATTACATATATGTACCATTATTTACTTTTTTATTTTTGGTGGTACCAGGGTTTGAACTCAGGACCTTGCACGTGCTAGGCAGGTGCTCTACCACTTGAGCCACATCCCCAGCCTTGTAGCATTATTTTTTGAGAAGTATATAATTTCTGGTTTATACCTGGTTGTCCTTGACAACAATTAGGTATTCTAATTACAATCAGTGAGCATTGCTAGAGTGAAATTACTGAGTCAAGGAGTGTGCCTTATTGTTTCACTCTGTTTGCTTGTTTGTTTTTGGATGGTGCTGAGGATTAAAGCTAGGTCCTTGTACATACTAAACACTTACTCTACCACTGAGCTACACCCCCAGGTCCAATAAGCTTGTATTTTAAGTATTGATGAGATCTTTTCAAATTATCTTCCAAAAAAGTGCACAAATTTGCACTTCCACTAATATTAGCTGTGAGTGTTTCTAGATTCTCATCTACCAGTCTTCCTTTGCAGTTTGAAATTCTTCCATCCTCGGAGGTAAAAATCACTACTTCTTTTTAATATATCTTTATTGGATTAGTGTGTATTGAGCATTTTTAATAAAACTAATAGCCATTTATATATTTGTGACAATTTCTTATTTCATGTTTTTCCCCATTTTTTTTATTTATCTCTTGCCAAATCCATTTTTATGAGAGGAAAATAAATCCTTTTGTGAGAAAGGCTTCCGTTTAATATATAACCCACCAACAGTTCACAGGACACCATAAAGGCATATAATCTACACACAAACACTTGAATAAATATTCACTCACCCTTTTGGAGCCCTGAAAGAAAGCCTAAGTGTGGTTACATAACCTAGAGGAGAGAAAGAAAACAGCTTGTCTGGGGTAGATGTGGGGACTGGCCTCTCTTTCTGTTGGTTTTCTGTTACTGTGTTAAAAACTGACAACAAACCTGGCAGATTAGCTCACAGTTTCCCTGGGACAGAAATTCAGACATAGCAGTAGTAGTTTTCTGCTCTGAGTCCTATGAAGGTAGAATCAAGGTGTTGACTGGCTGCATTCTCAAGTGAAGCTTTGGATCCTCCTCCAAGTACATGTGGTTTGGCAGGATTCAGTTCCTTGCATGGCAGGACTGAGTTCCCTTCATCCTTGATGTCTGTCAGCTAAGGGCCACTCAGCTTCTGGAGGCTGCCCCCATTCCTTGTCACAGGGCCCCTTGCATCTCCAAAGCCAGTCATAGGATCTCCTTTGCTGATCCCTTTTGTACTTTGAGTCTCTCTGACTTCTAGGCCCATATCTAAGAAGCTCACACGATTAGGACAGGCCCAACACAATGACTTATCTTAATGTTAACTGAAGAGCAAAACCCTTCATAGCAGCACTTAAATTAGTGTTTGAATGGCTCACTCAGAGGATGTTTTGTACAACAGGGGTCAGGAATTTTGAGGGGGGAGCCATCTTAGAATTTTGCCTACCACCTGCCTTCTTCCAGAGAAACAGAACTAATGATTTTTTGGCTTAGGAAATCACACTGAAACATCCAACACTAGAGGAAGAGACATAACTAGCATCCATCTAATCTCATGGACAATAAAATATATCCCTGTAGTCCAAGATCTTAATTCGAGCAAGAAACAGCAAAAAGCAGGAGAGAAAATGCAGGTGATGACATGTACAAGGTGAGGGTCAGGTGAACCTTCTATTTTAGTTACTCTTCTCGTGACCATGACAAAATGCCTGACAAAACAACTTAAAAGAAGGACAAATTTTTTTTGGCTCATGGTTTCAGAGGTTTCAGTCTATAGTCCTTGGGTGTGACTGGGCCCATGGTGAAGCAGAACATCGTGGTGGCAGGAATACGTGGAAAAGAAGAAGGCTGCGCACCTCATAATGGACAGGGATCTGAGAGAAGGGAAGGGACTAGGGACCAGATATAATCTTTAAAAGCACATCCCTAGTGACCTACTTTCTTTAGGTAGGCCCTACCTCCTAGTGTTTCCATTGCCTCTCAAGTCAAGTAGTATCACCAGTTGGGGACCAGACATTCAACATATAAGCCTATGAGGCACATTCCATATCCAAACCATAACACCTTCCGTGACCAAGGATTCAAATCTGATATTCTTAGTCCAGCATCTGTGCTCTTGACCCCGGTACCATAGGGCCTGCCCAGAGGACAGGCTACACTGATGGATTTTGAAACCTCCAACTTTGTAATTTCTTCTTCATACCAGTGTGACCAGAGTGTGCTTTTGTGAGATGCTGACCTTGGGTGTTCAATAGAGCAGGAAGAACTTACCAGAGCCTAAGTAGGTGAGCCACCAAGGGGAACTGTACTGATAAGCACTATTCTAAACAAACTTTAACAGAGCACTTTCCTCTCCTCTGTCTTTTTCTCTTTCAACCTCCCACCTGTTGCTGTGATTCAGGCACATTATACATGACTTGCTTGAGACTGAAGAGGTTTATATAAAAGAAATTAAGAGCATAATTGATGTAAGTACACAGGGAGGGGGGGAGGATGTTTCAAGCAAGAAGTTTCATTGCATAAAGAGATTCAAAATAGTTGTCACCTATCTCTAAAATTCCCACCAAGGTTTCAAGTCTTATAATATCAAGTGTCTCTAATAGAAATAAAAACATTCTTGTGGCTCTTGATCCTGGTGACCAAATAGTGCCAAAGCTGTGTCAATTCATACTGATTCTAGCAGTGCCCAGCTAGGTTCACCATATACTTGTCAAGGATATTGTAAGTGTTTTTGGTACTTTATAGAGGAAGATTATTTCTTATTTTTGCTTAAGAGTGAATACATGTATCTTCTCTCTTTTCCTTGGGAATAATCTTAAGAAAAAAATGTTATGTATAATTATTTATTATAGCATTTTTACAATAAAAAATTCAGAAGCAACTAAAATGTCCAATAAAAAAGGAATGATTAATATGACTAATAAAATTATATACACGCTAAATAAACATTACTCAACTATTGGATACAACATAGCAACATTGAAAAAACGTTCCTGATAGAAGATTAAATTAAACACAATATATGTACAGCTTTAGCTGCAAAGGCTAAAATCTACATGAAAAAACAATACAAAGTTCTATATGTATTGTGATCATAACCTTACAAATGAGCTTTTAAAAAGTTATAAAGGAAATATAATAAAACTTAACAGCAATTGCATCAGGTCATTAAATGTTGAGTAATTTTCCTCTTTCTTTCATATTTAACTGGCATAACATATAAGCTCTTAAAAATATATTTGCCCTTTCCATTAAAAACCATTTTGTTGTCATTGCCATTGAGGCATAGCCTTCTGAAGATGGATACAAGAGGAAAATTACATCAAAATACTTAATAGAGTAGCTTTCAGGAAATATGTGCTCTATTGCCCATTTATTCCCAATTACAGTTTGGTTCTTGGGGTAGCTAATTCATATCATCTGTTACATATTATCTGTAAAACCTACCTCATTCTCACCTCTGCAGGGATATATCACTCCAATGGATTTTATTTGGCTCAAGCATCTGATTCCAGATATTCTTCAGAATAACAAGGACTTCCTCTTTGGGAATATTAAAGAAATATATGAATTTCACAGCAGGTACCTGATTCACATTATCACAAAAAATGAAAAGGAAGAGGGGGTGGAAATCAGACAGATGGAATCTGATGTGGAAGTTTTTAGATATGTTCTGAATTAATCAAGCATTTTGGAGTCAGTGAATTGGATTGGGATGGGATGGGGATGAGAGGAAGAGAGAAGCTCCACAGGATCCCTGAGGAAGAAGGACAAGACACATTGGGGCATGCTAAGTGTCACGCATCAATGCTAAATTGGTAGTGTGTTCCTTTGTTTGTGCCTCGGCATTTATTGAGCACCCGTTCTGTACAGGCACCATGCTCCATGTTGGAAAAACAAAGATGACAGAGACACAGGTCCACAGAGCTATCATTTGGGTGTCCTAAAATGCTAACTGGTCAGACAAGTTGTCTCTTTGGCCCAGGGCTGCTTGGATATTGCAATCTAGAGAAGTGGAGGAAGGCCTTCCAACCTTCTCGTTTCACACAGAAGGAAACTGTAACTTCTTGGCTCATTTTAGCCCCCAGTGATGACCCCTGGACCCCCCACCTGGTTAATGGATGGGAAAGACTGCTGGTGAATTGAACCACAGTTGTTGTCTAACCCATCCCTCATCTACTGGTCAGATGCAAAGCTGAAACGGAGTCCCCTTTCTCAACTTTCCCCAGAAAAATAATTCAGCTTCTTTGAGCCTCGGGTTTCATACTTACGAAACTTTATCTCACAGGGATTGGTCGAGGATAACATGAGAAGTTGTTTGTGAAGTGTTTAGTTATGCCAGGCTTATAGTAAGCTCTCTGTGATATTAATAAAAACAGTGGTGGCCATTCCTACAAACATCGCTTTGCTGTGGCAGGGAACATCAGTGCATCCCATCTGTCGTGCTAGTGCTCAGAAAGACCAGAACAGCTGTAGGCGATTTCATGGTCTTCACAGTCAGGCGTCAGAATACATTTTTCTCCCAAAGCAGCATGCAGAAGATGAGTAAGAGCAATAAAGCCTGGCAAACAGCATTTTTTCCTAGGCCTTTCTTAAAGCCTTATGCAATTTTCCTTTTAAAAAAAGTTTGGCCCCATATATGTAAAAGTCAAGACATGATTATTATAATACTTTTATTTCCCTAGGACTTTTCAAAAAGAACTGGAAAAGTGTGCTGAAAACCCTGAACTTCTGGCATGTTGTTTTCTCAAGAGAGTAAGTCTATGCTCCCATTAAGCCAAAATAACCACGTGATTGAAGGCAATCTTTATTTTTCTGTGTAAGTGGCAAGGACACACATGGAGACACCAAATAGCTAAAGCTATCCCTGCTTTCCCTGTCCCCACCTGCTTTATTAACACAGAATTGGTAAATAAAAATTGCATATATTTGGTATATGTGTATACAATAGGTTAACATAACTATTACCCCTCACATGGTTACTAGGAAAGCACGTGTGTGTGTGTGTGTGTGTGTGCACGGTCCAGAAAAGTTAAACTCATACAAACAGAAAACTGAAGGCTGTTTGCTAGGGGTAAAGGATGGGGGAGATCAGGAGATACTGGTCAAAAACTTTCAGTTTTAAGATGAGTAAATTCTGGAGATTAATGCACAGCAGAATTGACAATTTTGTCCTATACTCATGAAATTTGCTAAGAGATTAGATCTCCTGTCTGTCCTTTGAACACAATCCAGGTGTCTAGAAGTGTTGGCCTCTCAACTTGACCGTATCTCCTCCAACGTGAGAGGGAATCTAGTCTGAGCTCACCCTTCCAGGAGGGAGCAAAGTGTATGGAATGGAAAGCTGATACTCAGTGTCCCAGAGCAGATGACCCCCTTCTGAGTGGTCGAGTTGTGTTTTAGGGCAAAAATCATAGAGCAGTGTTAGAGCCCCACACTGAAGTTGTGTTCATGCTCCCAAGAGAAGTGCTGGTGTTAAACTAAAAATCTCTCAAACATATTCTTCCACTTTATTTTTTACAATATAGAGGAAGATTAGAGAATGTTCAATCTACACCCTTTCTTATGGTTAGCACCCAATTATGAACTTCCTGTCCTGAAACTTATCTCCAACTACTTCCCCTTTCCCACCACCCAGACCTCTTCCCACTTGCCCTGCCTGTTTCTTCACACCTATGCTGGGCCAGTTTTATCCACCATCCTCCCCACCATGCTCTTTCTTGTTCCTTGGCATGACAGTGCTTGGTTTCCTCTACTTCTTTTTTCTGTGGTACTGGGTTTGAAATTTAGGCCTCTCTACCACTTGAGCCATGCCCCCAGCCCTTTTTTACTTTAGTTTATTTTTCAGTCTCATGCTTTTGCCTGGGTATGGATCGTGATTCTCCTACCTCCACCTCCTAAGTAGCTAGGATCACAGACATGGGCCACCAGGCCCAGCTTATTTTTGAGATAGGGTCTTGCTAACTTTTTTAAGGCTGACCCCTAACTGTGATCTTCCTATCTCTACCTCCTGAGTAGCTGGACTTACAACTGTGCACCCCCACACCCAGTCTGGCCTCCACTTTCTCAATCTTTCCCATTTCTGTCTCTTTCACAATGCACCCTAACTCTCATTTTCCTTCTTGTTCTTCTTTTTGTGAGCCCAAGACAACAGAAAAACAACTTAACAGACACCCAAATTGTGGCTAATATATCTGAGAGCAACACTTGTTGCAAAAAACCAAAAATGTCCAGGTTTCAAGGCACTTGACATAATGCAAAAAATGAGCTTCCTTTGACCTGGTAGCTTTCCAGCATAACTTCATTAAAGGCTCTTGAAGTGCCAGAAGTGAAGACACACTAAAAACTTTTGCACATGGTCTGTCTGATTCGTTTCCTTTTGAAGTACCACTATAACATCGTTCATGTTTGGTACTATTTTGTAGTCTGACACTTATCAAACCACTGATGGACAGTCTAGTTTCAGGATTCAAAAGTAGTTTATGGTTGCTTATGTCATTCTTGTAAAACTTGTTTAAGTTTGTGAATAAGAAAAGGGTCAAATTCCTTGAGGGGGGGAGAATGGATATTATCCAAAAAAATTGTTGAAATATGAGAAAATGGTGAGGGAATTGCTGACTAAACACTTTTTCTGGAAAGAATTTCTCTCCAAAGTTTTATAAAGTTTTCTGTAGCCTTTCATGCTGGGAGGAACCTTGGAAATCATTAATCTGGACCACAAACTTGCATGTAATCCTATATGATTTATGATGTCAGAAATAAAGTATAGGTCATAAATTCTTATCAGTTACAAAGTTATCCTTTGGGATAAATGGGCCAATTAAAAACTACAGTTCTCTTATCACCTAGGCTTCTCAGAGGGAGTTGGCCATGGCTAGACAGACTGCTGTTGGTTGGCTGATAAGGCAGGCCCCTCACCCTTGACTGCAGCTGTTTGTCTTTTCTCAATAATATTTGTACAATTCCACGTAATGCTGGAAGTGAAATATTTTCCTGGCCGAGTGTGTTCATCAGACTCTGTACCCTGGCTCACCCAGAAAGGTTCTCCCTTCATAGACCCTACTCTATGAAGACAGTGTTTGTCAGGAGTCTGCTGGGTTCCACTTGCCCTGAGAAATCACTTGATAAAATGGAAAGAGCACTAAAAAGGAACTTCTAATTTGAACCACTTGCGATTTCCATGGTAAAGGACTTAACCCTTAGAATTTCACACTCTTTCTCCAGACCACAGGCTTATGGTACCAATGCACAACGGTGTTGTGGGAAACAAAAGAAGAGTCCTTCTGCATAGATGGGCTCTAGAAAGTGAGAAGTGCTTTGGCAAAATCTTCCCTTTCTATATATTCTGCATACTGGACATTTGTTAAGTGGTTTCTATACATCATCTCAAATTTCACAACAATCACAAGAGCCAACCATTGTTATGAACCCATTTAACAGTTGCAGAAATTGATGTCAAGGAAGGCTAAAGAATTGGCCTTATTTACAAAGCTAAGAACTGAACCTGGACTACTACCAATGCCCACATCTTAGTCCATAACCCATTATGTCTTCCTGGGTAAATGTGAGTTTTGGGTAGCAATGTTACGGCCTTCTGTTTTTTTCTATAAGAAGATAAGGGGAATAGGACACTTTCATGTGTTGCTGCCTCATGCACATCCTTTCTCAAAGGAAGTTCGGACTGTTAGCCAGTACGAGAACAATTTAGGTCAATAATTGTGTTTCAGTACTTGAGGTCTTCAATGGTCTACGTTGCCCAAAGAGCAGAATCAGGACCAAGGGGTTTCAGCTGGCATCTACTAGTAGGACCAGGTCCCTGTAAATACCAGGAGAGGTTGGGAAAAGGTGGCTGGCTGTGAGAGTGTTAGGCTGAGTGGAGACTGTGTCATCAAAGTCTCCTTCAGTTGTGAGAATCTTCTGGGGGGCAAGTGCTGAAAGCAATGAAATGTTGAATTCTTGCAGGAGCTCATGGCTAGTGTCTTTGACACTGGTCTGTGACAGACCAGGCCAAAGGTAGGTGAGCTATCTCAGTCAGTTGATGTGGTCTACAAGCCTGGCCTTCGGTATAGCAGAAATGTTCCTTCAGCATGGCACCCGTGCAGTGTGAGCACGAGATGGACAAATCACAGTGCCTGGCACACTTGAGACATACAATAAGTCTTTTTTTTTAATACAAGAGATTGAATTCAGGGCCTCACACAGACCAGCAAGTGCTCTCCCACTTGAACCACCTGCTCCCAGTCCTTTCATTTGTATTTCATTTTTGAGATAGGGTCTCACTCACTTTGCACAGGCTGGCCTCCAACTCAAGCTCCTTCTATCTCCACCTCCCAAGTATCTGGGATTACAACAGGTAATTCTGAAGTGAATGGATAACAAACATGTTATAGTTAAGCTCTGAATTATTGTTCTAGTTCCTTAACCAATCCGAATAACATTTCTCAAGTTCCATCTCTCATCCTAAATGTGGTGTGGTATGTGCATGTAGTGTGTGTGTTATGTATGTGTGTGTGTAATATGTGTGGTATGTACATATGTGTGTGGTGTGTGGTGTATGTGTGTGTGTGTGTGTGGTGTGTACATATGTGTGTGGTGTGTGTGTGTGGTGTGTGTGTGGTGTGTGGTGTGTGTGTGTGGTGTGTGTGTGTAGTGTGTACATATGTGTGTGGTGTGTGTGTGTGTGTGTGTGGTATGTACATATGTGTGTGTGGTGTGTGGGGGTGTGGTGTGTGTGTGCATGTGTTTTCCTGGAGTAAATAGCCAAGGGCAGAAGTGCAGCAGTTCTGAAATGACTCCCTAGGGTCTACAGGAGAGGGAAGAGCTAGAGAAAGAGCAGTCGTTCACTACAACAATACACCTTTGACCTTGCGTTTTTGGTGCTGAGGAGTAGATGCTGAGGGCCTCAGGCATGGTAGACAAGGATTCTGTTCTGGGCACACCAGCCCCAGCAGTACGTTTATAAGTAGAATAGACATAGTCGAAGCTGTGAGAGCAAAATTAACCTATGTTGACATGAAGGAAGTCAAGAGTGGCTGAGCAAGAGAAGAGGGGCTCAGTTCTGCAAGGGGTTAGCTATGGCCTTCCCCCTGAGCAGCGGGAACTCCATGGACAGCACAGTTCCCCCATGGAGAGAGAGAAGTTGGCAAGAAGACTGCAGAGGGGCCCCTCCATCTGGGCCACTAGGAGATGTTTGCCAAGCCAGTGGAGGACTGGATACAAGGAGAACACAGGCTGAACTGCACTTTGAACCCAACCTCTTGGTCACTAGCTCTGAGACATCTGCATAACATTTTCTGCCTCTGAGTCTGAGTCTTGTGCTGCAGGCTGAAGGTGACATCAGAGACACAGCTTGCCACTTTGAGGGTGGCCCAAATGGCATAGATCTAGGTTTTGTTATCGAATTCCCACATTTTCCTTTGGGTGTATTTCCAGTTTTTAGTTAGTTCTTGGTTTTCTTTGTGGGGTTGACATCATGATGACTGTAATAAGGAGAGGGTGGGGAGAGAGAAAGAGCAGGACTGTCAGCCAACAGTGTACTTCCTTCAGTTCTGTCACTCACTGTGGTACTGTTTGGGGGACATACTGGTTCCTGGACAAAAAGCAGGAGAGGAAAAATGAAGATAAAAATTAATCTGTGTTTGTGAATTTATTTATTTACCATCAGACCTTCTAGACACTCCCACAGCCCTCTGTTCATGTCCGTGTGGAGTACTTGTGCTGTTCATAGCCCTCTGTCCCCTCCCTGTCACACACTCACCCCAACACAAGGTTATTTACAGGGTGCGCCAGTTCCTCACACACTGAAATCCTCGGGTTTCTTGTATGAATGAATAAGCTGTATCACCTGTGCACTTACTCAAAAATATTCCCTGGCTCATTTGTTCTAATTTTTTTCCCACCCAGAAAGAAGACCTCCAAATGTATTTTAAATACCATAAAAATCTTCCCCGAGCAAGGGCAATCTGGCAGGAGTGTCAAGACTGTGCCTACTTTGGGGTAATGTTGAACTTGTCAAGTCTCCCACCAATTGTTGTCCCTGGAACATGTCTATATGTACATTGAATTTTTTTTTAAATTATCATATTACTGTGGCACTTGGGGTACATTGTGACATTTACAAAAGTTCTGGCAATATATCATAGTTGAATTCACACCCTCCATCGTTCTCCTGTACATTGAACTTTTAAAGGAAATCAAAAGTCTGAAGTGGAGGAATTTGGCCCTGGGATTTCTGTTAGTTCAAAGTCTCCCATACTTTGACACACTGGAAGCTTCGATGCTGCTCCTTGGGTGTACATGGCCCCAGTCTGTGAAGGTGCAGCTGTGGGTATGGTGAGAACCCCAGTGTCCTCCTCTAGGAGGAACTAAGTCAAAAATACCACACTTTGGGGCTCCTAGGAATAATATGAGAAAGCATTGTACTTGCAGAGCCAAAATGGCCACAATAGATGTCACTCTGCCCCCACCTTGAACGTGGGCTACCTCCTTTTCAGAAGGACTTGAAATTCCACTGAAGGGAAAATGGTCTCGCTTCCCTAGTCACTTATACAATTACTGACCTGGGCAACCCCTCATTCTCTCATTTCACATGCTGTTCCCCAGGGCCTAGAAGACTCCAAAGCATCATGGGCCTGTCGACACAGCCTCCCTTCTTGTCCACAAGGAGGCCATTTGTTTATTATATCTAAATGCTGTTGCTTTCATTCTGTGAGTGTGTCGTTCATTGGTTTTGTTTTGTATCCTTTCTGCTTCACTTTTAAAGGTTTGCCAGCGCCAACTGGACCACAGTCTCTCACTTTTTAAGTATCTTGGAGGACCAAGCCAGAGACTGATAAAATACCAGCTGGTGTTGAAGGTAAAGTCACTGAGATGGTGTTTTCTGGGAAGGCAGATGCCCGAGCTATGGTGCTCTGTTCCTTAGACATGTGGAGTTGCCTGGTCTTCCAAGTCTAAACCAGTTCTCAGTGAGAAAAATACCAGAGTCAGAGTTGGAAGGGACCTGGGAGCCTGGCTAGGCCAACATGCAGGCCACGGCACGAACCTCTAGGAGACTATGACAAGGGAGGAGAGGTCTGGGGGCCATGTGGGTAGGGCTGCAAGCCACTGCCAGCAGCTAAGGATGGGAGGCAGCCCTCTGCTCTCCCCATCAGAAGGGAAAAGGCAAAACTGCAGTCGCCTTGCCTTTTGTAGCATCCCCCTTCACCCTTCTATTGAGAATCTTAGCATGAGCCCAAGAGCCGCAGAACAGAATAATTTTGCTGTGTCTGGACCCCTAAGTGTCTCTCTCTTTCTCCCCCTCTCCCTCTACCTCTCCCTCTCCCTTAGAGGCGCACACACACACACATACACCTTTTCCCTTCCCTAATGGTGGGGACTGAACACCAGTATGTCTGCCCCAGACATCCCTAGCAGGACACAAAGGTCAACCGAGGCTGGTCCCACCTGTGAGCATAAGAGAACTGTTCAGGCCACCCCTAAGTTGCTTTTTGAGTTAACCCACAAGAGAAATGGGTAGCTCTTCTTTTGCCCAGTGGCTATTGTCTCTTAATAAAAATCAAATGAACAAAAATGAGCATCGACTATTTCTTGGTTACTTTGCCACCACTCATTTTCTTTATGTAATCCCATAATCAGACCTGCTGGCAAAGCTCTGGAGTGTGAGGACACCGAGGCTGGAGAAGGCAAGCTCACTGCCCAGCAGTCCATCCTCAGAAGTTACCTTTTCAGCTTCCCATCAGTGGCTCTAGCCTCGCTGTGTCTGCTTTAGCAGATTAGCTGATTAGCTGATAGCTGATTAGCAGTTTTAAGACCTTTACCTTTTGAGTGTTGGTTTTCTCCTCCATAAGCCTGTTGTGAAGAGCAGGTGAGTATTGTGCATATAAGATGCAGCACAGCTCTGACCTCCAGCCTGCTTTATACCATGTGGAGCTGTTAGTTTAGATAAGGAGACAGTCATACAGTGTGGGAAGAGGAAGAATAACTACTTCCCTCTGTGCGTAGCAGCTCTGGGAAGATTTGGGTACAGTGTTCACTTAGGGCCTCTTGTTTCTCTACTCATATCCTGTCACATCATTTGTACTTCAGAAGCCTTCCCACTGGACCCTCAGAGGTCATCTTCACACCTAGCTGAGTTCTTTACCATAGGAGGAGGACAGGGAGCACAGTGATTACAAAGCAGCCTCGGCAGTTAATCATCCTGGGTCAAGTTCTGACACTTCCAAGCTTCTTGAAATTAAGTCACTTAAACTCACCCTGCCTCAGTTTCCTCACTGTAGAATTAAAGTAATAGTGCTTTCTGGGTGTGCCTTTGGGGAGAATCAAAATGAGATAGTATAGGATAAAGGTACTTAGAAGTTTTTGTTAGCTGCCTTTCACTGAGGAAAAAAGAGAGAAAGAACCACTATACAATATCCCCTGGGGTCTGTGATGAGCTGAGGGCTGCTACCCACAGAGGACCAGTTTCTCCCTCAAACCATTGGCACACCGTGCAGATGGGAAGAAGTGTACAGACTTCCTCCCATGAGGAAGGAAGCTCATTCTGCAGTTCTTATCCACAACTGGATGTTGAGCCAACTGCCTTGTGGTTTAGAAAGGGTTGTTGGATCCTGGTGTAGGAAATCCCTTCTAAATATCAAAGAAAGGATAGATTGCACTGTTAAAAACAAATCCACATGAAAAACTTGTGAAAAATTAGCAAAATAGGTGACAAATGATCAGTATGCTTAGTTAACAGTGAGCTCTTTGAGATTAATAACTAAAATAACAAAGGACCTAGGCAGATTTCAAAAGAACAGCTACTAATAGCAAACTTAAACAAATAAAAATTGTATGTCACTTGGTATCTGAGGAAATCAAAATGGAACAGTAGTGAGGCAGGGCTTCTCGGTGGACTCACTTGGCAAAGATTTGTGATAAAATGGTGATGCTCCCTGGTGGTGAGGGGCTGGGCTGGTGAATGAAACTATCGTCTATAGTTGGCAGGAACACAGTCCTCCTGTGAAGACCTTGGAAATAGGCCTCAAAAGTCTTAACATTTATAATTCTACTTCTAGGAACTTCTTAGGGAAAATGCACAAAAATTACTACAATAGTAACAAAAAGTTATGGAATCTAAATGTTTAACAGTGGAGAAAATGATTATCCATTGCCACAATTCAATTATGGTTTATCTGTATGATGCAACACTCTGCCACAAACAAAAACCATGTTTTGGAAAAATGTAATATCATGGGTAAATGTTCCTGAGTATATTGTTGAATGAGAAAAAGCACATGACAAAATGGTGTGCATGATAGGTTTCTATGTGGAAAAAACTCTGTGCAAAGATAGCATTCATTCTTTCCCTCTTACAAATTTGCACACCTCACATTAGCATTGGCTACAGATTGTTCACAGAGGAGATTTTGTCCACAATCTGCTTCTTGATTTTCAATAGGCCTTGCTGGATATTGAGTCTCCTGAAGATGTGGACATAGACCCAGGTGACCTAGAAGGAGGCTCAGCTAAGGTACTGGATATGGAATATGACATTTTATATAACTGTTAATGGTGTTTGCCTATGGGTGGGAGGATTTGCAACAATTTTATTTTCATCATTTATGCTCTTCATTGTCTAAATTTTCTAAAATGGTATGTATCCTATAATTCATAGTCGGGGAAAAAAATTAAAAGCAGGTTTTGCAGTTGGGATTTGCAGCCTGATGAGAAGTGGTAATGTATTTTCTTCCTTCCTTATAAATAAGTTTTAATGGGAATTCAAAATTAAGTGAGTGTGTAAAAATGTGTATCTGAAAGACTAGATGTATGTACTACTGAATTTCTGCTGTGGTTTTCCTGTCTGGCAAGATTATGTGGGATTTGTATTTTCTTCTTTGTTCTTCATAGCATATCTAATCCAGAGTCATTAAGTCTTGTTCTCGTGTGTCATTAAGTCTTGTTCTCGCGTGTGTGCGTGTGTGTGTGTGCGCGTGCGCGTGAGAGAGAGAGAGAGAGAGAGAGAGAGAGAGAGAGATTCTAAGACAGACCTTCAAGGTTCCCTTGGAAGAGATGGTATAAATTTGTGACTTAGCAGTATGTTTTTTTTTTTTTCAATTTCCTAGAGAAGACTCTAGTTTTCACAAGAAAATTCAAGGTCTGTCTCAAGGAAGAGTCATTTGTGCATCCTCTTCACTCAGGATGTGTGATGAGGACCTTTTGAAAAGACAGATGCTAGAGGCATCAGGTGGATACTTTTAGACCATGGAGCAAGGGAAGCTGGCTCTGGTTTGCGAGGTTCAAAAAGTATCTAGAGACTTTTGTGAGCTTTACGTTCCACAGCGTAGAACTGCCTGGTGTGTCTGTGGAAGGAGGATTAGCAGGCAGGAGAGGAGCTAGAGGCAGGAAGGTGCCTGAAAGGAAAATGAAAGTGCTGGCTGAGGAGGCAGGTGCTCCTGAGAGGAGAGCTTTTAATTCCTTCTTGATGCTGGTAAAGTAAACTCAGGGGAGAGTTTGTTGCCTCACAGCAAGAACTGGAGTCCATTTATTGTAAGGAGGAAGGTAAAAAGCCATGGCACATTGTTCAGTGGAGGTGGCATGATCTCTCCCATCAGCCTTGTCACTCATGTCTCTGATCCAAAGATGCCAATACCCAGTGCTTCAGCAGAGATTAAGAAATGAGCCAGGCAAGGTGGTGCATGTCTGTAATCCCAGCACTTGGGAGTCTGAGGGCAAGACCCTGTCTCAAAAAAGAAAAAGAAAAAGAAGAAGAAGGAGAAGAAAAAGAGGAAGGAAATGCAACGAGAGAATGAGGGAGGAAGAGAGAGAAATACAGTACCCTTTCACTACATCAGACTGTGCAACTAGTTGGGGCTAGTGGAAAGTAGCAAGAGCTATCCGGTCTTTGTTGCAGAAATTCAAGTGTTAAGGTTGGAGGCATGGCTCAAGCTATAGCGCCCCAGTATAGGGAGTGTGAATCCCTGAGTTCAAATCCCAGTACTGCCCCCAAAATTGAAGTGTTAAAAAAAATTACACAGAATGAGCCAGAATCTTTGTTTTTATTTACGAGGTGACATTGACATATAAATATGCTGTACAGTAATAGAGGAATAAAATCCCGAAACCCCAAGCAAAAGCCTTTAGAGCTGAAACAATCGTCACTGTGGTATCTTTCCAGGTGTTGCTGTGGTAACAATCAGAACACTGCTCCTTTTAATTAGCAGTTGCTATCCTTGAGAACAGCCTTTTCTCCAGGACTGAGGATTAAATCCAATGCCTTGCACATGCTACGCAAGCGTTCTTGTCACTTGAGTTATGTCCCCAGCCCTCGTCTTTGTTCTGTTTTTGACACAGAAACTGTTTTGGATACAGTTTGTCCAGGCTGACCTCCATCCATCCTCTGTCTTCACCTCTACCTCCAAAGTAGCTGGGATTAAAGACATGTTCGCCACACCCTCTCTTTGGCATCTTTCATTATGATGGAATTTGGACAGGACTGGGGCAGGAGTGAAGGGAGGAAGTGCAGAGCTGAAGGAGATTCCATGTGGCAAATGCCACCAACAAATGTTATGACTCTGACATGTAAATCACTAACAACTTTCCACATAGGAGCCCATTTTTTGCCTCTATAGGAGTTTAGAAATATCCTCCTCTGGGACGACTTTATGTATAATTTTACCCACAGAAATAAAATTTTCACATTAAGTAGAGGAACAGGCTACTCAAAAGTGTCATTTTCAATAATCTCCAGGAAGTAGAGGTGTAACAAGGAGAGAAGCTGCTTAAAAAGGATGGGCATTTTTCATCCTTGAAAAAGGCTGTGCCATGTTTCTTATGGGGCAGGAATAGAATGTCAGTGATTTTATGAACTTTCTTCCTCGTCTATAATGTACAGAAGGTCCAGTGGACAATCTCACTCATCTCTACTGCACATCAGACACTGCAAACCAGCAAAGGTCACTTTGCTGACTATGCTTTGGAAGTAGAGAGAAAGGTGATGTTTTCCCCTTCCCAGTCAGTGCTGGCTGCACCTGTGGCTCCTAAGCTCAGTCCTGTTTTCAGGTTCCCCTCGGTACATGATATGCTTTTGATTTCCACAGGATGGGCCAAAGAGGACGGAGGATTCTGCATTCTCAGCTGAACTCCAGCAGGCTTTGGCAGTGGTAGATGATTTGATCAAGTACTGTGAGTTGGCGGTGGACCTAGCAGCAGTCTCTGGATGTCCGGTATGTTTCCTAGCAAGTGTTGGAATTGTTTATGTGAAGAGCTGGCATTGTGTTACAAAGGTAGAGATGTTGTAGCACAGTGTGAGGAATAATCCATGGACTAGGAAGAAAGTCACCTAGGTCAATCAGCAAACCTGAGCCTTGAGATTCTGAGAAGCCCCTCAGCATTTTCAGGAATTTTGGAAAATACTGCTCAGAGTCCTGAAGGTTTGACCCATGCTGTGGACAATCCAGAAACACAGAGGCTGGAACATCTATAAAAGGGAACAGTGCTGAATGGGAATTTACTTTCTAACTCATGGCATTATTAAAATATTAAAAGATTCTCCTCTGCCTCAGAGTCTCTCTGTGGAGTATTTTTTCCTGACTGTATGTGTGTGTGTGTGTGTGTGTGTGTGTGTGTGTGTGTGTGTGTGTGTTTAATGCTGGGGATCAAACCCAGGACCTTGTGCATGCTAAGCACATGGTATGTCACTGAGGCTCATCCCCAGCCCAATGTGAAAAGTATTTTGAAAACGGGTCCTAAATGAGTCCAGCCCCATTTTCCATCACAGATCACAGAAGAGGTCCATCAAGTCTACTTTATACACCCCTTAATCTAAAGACAACCAAGAGCTGCAGCGGAAGGCCAGCAGCTGGCCTCAGTCATCTTAGCTCTAGGACCATGTTAATTCGACAGGCCTCTTCCGGGCATCCCAGGCACAGCTGGGATCTTTGTTGGACTGGGAAATGGTTAATATTAATATTTGACTGTTTTCCACTATGAAGTTTAGATTTTGACTTAATGTGTTTGTTTCCTATCACTTTCATAACTAGAAGTCACTACAAGTTTGGTGGCTTAGGACAACACAAATTTCTCATCTTGCAATTCGAGGGTGGAGCAGAAGTTCCACACAATCTCATTAGCTAAGATAAAGGTGTCTGCTTTCCTTTTTGGAGTCCCTAGGAGTGAATCTGTTTCCCTGTTTTATAGCTTTAAAAAACCACTTATATTCCTCATAGTCCTTGGCTCGTGACCTGTTCCTCCAGCTTCGAAGCCAGCAACAGGGGGTGCAGTTCTCACATCGCATCTGTGTGATCTCTTCTACTTCTCTGCCACTTGTAGGGACCCTGGTGATTCCACCAGGCCTGGCCAGATAATCCAGGGTTCTCTTCTTGACTGCCATTCTCCATGATGGTCTCATATTCTGGGGGGTAAGGTAGACATCTGCCCACCACATAGGGCTCAAGGCTTTGAGAATTACATTTTAGCAGATATTTTCCTTCTCTCTTCTTTTTTTTCATTTTTTACCCGAATCTTAATATATTGTTTATTGAAATTTTGGCAAATCAAATGATCTTTCGTTTCTGTCCTTGCAGTAGTCAAAGTATGCAAATTAACTAGGAGGAAGAAGTCATTGTTTCGTGTTCCTGTCTCATGGTATTTGTCTGGACAGCATCCCAGAAACTCAGCCCCTGGTTTGCTGTGATGGGAGGTAGTGATGCCATTCATCCTCTGGGACTCAAGGTGCTCTCTGCTTACTGCCAATGCATGATTCAAGAGGGTATCGGACCCACAGGGTGAGATTAGGGTGCGTGCCAAGAGGGATCATATTCTTGGTAATACGTTTTCCGTCTTCAGCTAAGGAAGGTCAAGGGAACAATTTGTGTAATCAGTTTGGAACATCTTTCTGTTCTTTTGTTCTCGAATCATATGTCAGATACTTCTGTTAGCTAGATATCCATTTCTCTGAATCAACTGAATGTCCTGGAAACAATACACGGAGCAGGAAATCCCAGCTATTATTCTCAGTGTAAGTAACACAGGAGGAGGAAATAGTGAGGAAAGGATGAAGAAATAACATGCTTTCATTCCAAGCCAGACTGTGTGTAAATAAGATGAACCAGTTTATAAAATTTTAGAGATTTTATGCTAAGTGTAAAGGACCTTTTTTCCCCATGTGTCCCCAGAATTGTACCTTTGACATATGCTATATGATTTCTTTTCTACTGAGTCATTAATTCAGTGTTTTCTGATAGTTTTGTAGAATCCTGTTGAATTATGGAGGAGCAAGCATTGGTATTTTCAACTTTCTGACTTGAAAGCAGATCCAGGAAAAGAATGACTAACTAACCCAAGATTATATGGTCATCTAGTTGGACTATTTCTTACTACTCCCTTTCCAGGGTACCATCTATACTCTCTCTGATTCTGATTTGCATTGACTAACAACTCAATCACTACTAATTCACATCTAAAGATCCCAAGATTTTTTGTCTCACTTTGTGCAGCTTTATTATAAGGTGTTTATTGTCACATGTGGTATGCATGCATTAATCCAGAGCTTAGCCTCTTAATTTTTCTATTTGAAACCCGGTATTAACCTGGTTCTGTAAAGGAAAGAAACTGAATATTCGTGGATCAATTTATCATTAAAAGAACTAGAAAAAAATTCCCTGCTGATATTTACTTTTTTTTCTGTTGTAGAAAATCTGTCCTCAGTTCAATGTAATCACAAAAGTCTTAAAATGAATTTGCTTTATGGAATATTGATATGTAATTTACTTCCCTCCATCTGCAAAAAATTAAAATTAAAAGGAGTTTGTTTACCAGTGCATATTAGTGATGCCTATAAATCCTGCCTTCCAGGAATGTGTTCTAAAGTTTAATAGTAAAAGTTGGCTGAGACAGTTTTCTTTTCTGGAACAAATTTATATAATTCAATAAAGGACTTGCTAGGACCAGGTATTTTATTTCTATTTCAGTTCTACTTCCTTTACCATACATAGTGTTGGCTACACAGAGAAGGCAGAGTAAATAAATTCAGTGACTCAGTGGAATCACCTCTGCATCTTTCCACTCTCACCATTTCTATGTCAAGGGTGGTTTGTAGAAGGAAATGAGGACAAAATCTGAGGGAGGGCACTGAGAACTGTGGTTGGCATTGGGCAGATGCTGATTAAATGGCCCACGCTGAATTGCTGGGGGGACCTGACAGGCTGGGAAGGAAGGAACCTTTGTCTCTAGCTATTGTGATCACTGCCTCCCACAGCTTCTGCTTTATTGTTTCTGGACCAGGCTGCATGCGGATGCATTTATCCAGGTGTTTCCTGCTTCTTCACACAAGAAGTATAGAACTCTGTCAATAATATTCTTTCTCAATGCCAGGGCTGAAACCCTGGGCACCTAAAAGGGCTCTCTTTCTGAGGCGAGTGTCACTGGGCTCACTTTGTCAGCCCAGGTCTTTACTTGGCCATAGTTACATTGGAAATTCTCATCTCAGAGCTGTTGCTACAAAATGCCTGTGTATGAAAATGGCAACAGTTACTAGTTTATTTTGCCAAACATTCTGTATGGAGGAGGCTGTCTGACTTGTCACCTGCTTATTTATTTGAGATGACCCCTGTGTTCTATCTGTGGACTCACAGTCAAGTTCTTCAACACACTATGTGATACAGCCACACTTTCCTAAATTAGGTGACTCACAGTTTCGAAGACTAGATGCCCCAAATCAAGGTACCAACAGGCCACAGTCCTTCTGAAGGCCCCAAGGAAGAGTCCTTGTCTCTTCCTGGCTTCTGGGGGTTGCTGGCAATGCATGGAGTTCCTTAGCTGACAGCTACACCACCCCAAGTTCTGCCTCTGAATTCACGTTGCTCTCATCCCTGGGCGTAAATTTCTGTATTTTTGTTTTCTCTTTTTGTAAGGATTCTGGATACTGGATTAAGATCTACTCTAATCCAGTATGATATCATCTTAACTCTGCAAGATTCTCTTTCCAAATAAGGTCGTATTCTAAGGTTCCAATGGTCATGAGTCTTTTGGGGGACACTTCAACCCATACAGGGAAATCAGTGGATTAACTTCTTAAATAAATATGCAGTGCCTCACAGTGCTCAGTAGTTAGTTTCATGACCCCTGTTCCCAGGTACCACTAATGACAATAAATGAATGAATACTTCTGATAGGACAAGTAGCTAAAAAAAAAGTTGCGTATGTAGCCTCTAGCCTTGGGGCCAACTACAATCTAATTGGAAAGAAAAGATATTTTTGGTTAAAAAACTGTCCAAGGAATTAATGTGAGTCAACTCCCTGTTTAGCTATCCTTATCTCAACCAGCAAAAACCCTTGTTCCTTTCTATTATTGCTTATAGTCTCTCTATAACAAAATTAGAAATAAGGGCAAAATAGTTTCTGCTGGGTACTGAGGGGGGGAGAGGGAAGGGGCGGAGTGGGTGGTAAGGGAGGGGATGGGGGCAGGGGGGAGAAATGACCCAAGCATTGTATGCACATATGAATTAAAAAAAAAAAACTGTCCAAGGGCATCTTAGTCTTGTTCAGGGGAATCTCCCTACCACTTTCTTGTGGAGGTTGGGTGGCCTCTGCACAGGCATGCATGCTGCCTACACTTCATCACACTGGGCAGGAAATGTGTCCTCACCCACTGTTCACTTCAAGTACTGAGGTGCCTGATCCCAACAACATTTATGCAAGATGAACCAAACTCGAAGGACCCAGTGATTCCCTCCAGTGACCTTCAGTGACAATGGGCTCACTGGGAACACTGACCCACAGAGCTGCAGGAAAAGTAACACTATGACAAGAACCAGGCTCATACAGAGAAGAACTGAACAAGTCCAAACTCCATAGCAGCTCTGGGGCCCAGCCGGGGTAGGGATTCAGAGCTTTTGCTGTGTGTTCTACCTCTGTGTGCCATGGATTCCCAGCGTGTGGGCAGGCCCTTCCTCTCTCCCCTTGCTGACTGGGTCTTTCCATCCAGCAGTGCCTTTTCCTCTTCCTCCTAGTTTCTGGTGATTCATCTTCTTTACAGCTCTCTTCTCATTTATTCCGCTACCTGCCTTCTGGGAAAATGTCTTATGGCTGGAACTCCCACTGGGCTCTGCCTTCTCCTCAGTTTTCTTCACTTAGAGAGGAACTGGCCACCCAACATCCCTTTCTTACTCTGGCCCTCCCTGGATTCATGTCCATAGGTCAGTTGTCTACCAAGATACAAGCAATTGTGATGATGTATGGGCTGGGAAGGAAGCTCAGAGATATCAAAGCCCAAAGCCTGGCTGACTCAGGTTACCCCTTCTAGCAGGGCTGGGTTCAGGGCTGTTTCCTCTCTAACATCCCCGAACCTTGGTAGAGACACACAGATAACCTTACCAAGTCTTCTACAGATTAGGGAGGGTGCACCGGGACTTGATCTCCACCCTCATCTTTTGGGCCCCCTTTGTTCTGGTCTCTTTTGGAATTGCTTTTATAGCTGTGCTATGAAGTTTCCTCCACATTGACCAATGTGTTCTTATGAGCAGCTTTACCTAAAAATATATTCGTGTCCATTGTGAGATGTGGTTGAGGATGTTGCTTGTCCCCAGTGGCCCAGTAACCCTTTCTCCTATGGGAGACATTTCTCGTATGCCTTATTAACGAGAACTGCTGTGCTTTTCTTGAGCTAGTGGTTGGTGTATGTCTTTGAACATAATAATAAATCACATAAATTACATGTTTCCTTCTATTGCTTCTAGAAGGTCAGAGCTGGGTCTGCTGCAGGTTACAAGGCTGTATTGCATGGATTTTATGCACAATCTCTTCATTGTATTTCATTATCTTCATTTTTTCATCTTAATTTCTTCAGTTATTTTCTGTCTGCCTATACCGTATATATTTTGTAAGGTATATCAAATTTGTGGGATGAAATGGAGTATAAGTACATTTAAGAATAGAAACTACTCATAGCAATTGTTTATGTGGCAAATATGACCACATAAGCACACTTCCTGCAGTACTGGTGCCTCTACTACAGACAATGGATGGGTTTAAAGGTGAAAGCATTCTCTGAGGACTGGGGTGGTAAGATGTGAGTGAGACCTTGAAGAATGTGGACAGAATGGAAAACTCCTGCAAAATCCTCCTGACCCATCCACCTATCCACCTGGGAACATGGTGGAGCTGAGCCCGGGTGACACAGACTGGAGCCCTGTGCTTATGGGAAAGGAGGCTCTAAGGCTGGGGTTTCATTCACCACAGTTTACACATGCAAATTTTACAAAGCATATAGGGAAAATTAATCCAGGAAAATATACTGTAAGTACCACAGACATGACTAGAGTTCATTGCTTTTGGGGTTTTCATTTTAGAGTTTCAAAAGCTTAGTCAATTCTTTTTAAAATGATATTCATAGTTTGTTCAACATATCAGAGTAAGTACATCACAAAAATTCTCAGTCAGTTATAAAAGATGTACATATTATTTCTGATATTAATTTTATTTTTAAAAAAAGAAAAACTTCTCAAAAATCAGAGATTTATGTCTGCTAGATGTAACTCAGGGAAATTCCTTCATCTTAGTTCCATTCAAATGATCTTCTCACTTTGGTGTTTTGATTCATGAAAATAAATTCTTGACTATCTGCTTTAAGTGATTTAGTTTGTTTAAACACCAGATAAAATACTTTATTTTTAATATACTCAACTACCCCTGGGAGAGAGCTCAGAGAAGACAGGGTCATCTCATCTGGGTTTTCAGGTAATATATGGGAAAGGCAGGCTTGCTGTGGGGGGGGGGAGAGAGAGAGAGAGAGAGAGAGAAGCTGAAGCTCAATTGCACTTGAAGCCAAGTAGATTTCTTTAAAAATCTGTCATTTGATACTATTTTGTCACTGTCCACTCGCTCTGAAATTTACACTTTCTATTACAATGTTATAAAGACTAGGTCATGCCAGGTTTTCTCCTTTCAGAACAAACCTCATGCACTCAGGTCCTCAGATGCTCAAGCCAATGTTAGGCTGTAGATGGAAGCAGAATACCATAGGTCTATAATGCAACAAACATCTGTCTCTCTGAACGTAACTAAAAAGTTAATTTCTTGCCGTTTCTAAGTAAACTGTCAAGCATCAAACACAAAGAAGAAACAGAACACTGCTAACTCAAATGAATTATGAGACAAAAATGTCAGACAACCAATTGCCCTTATATACTTTATCTTACAGATAGCTGGCACTTTTAGAATTGTAAACCTCAAAGAAGCATGCTTTATAATTTGAAAACAGAACCCTGAGGGTTCTTTCCCTGTCAGGTAACTTAATGACCTCTTTTTTTTTTCTCTTGCATATGTGTGATTTTTAAAGGATGATATCGGAAAACTGGGCAAGCTGTTGATGCATGGTCCTTTCAGTGTCTGGACAATTCATAAGGATCGTTATAAAATGAAGGATTTTATCAGATTTAAGCCCAGCCAGAGGCAAATCTATCTATTTGAAAGGGGAATAGTGTTCTGTAAGATTCGAATGGAGCCCAGTGACCAGGGTTTATCTCCTCATTACAGCTTTAAGAAGTTTATGAAGGTAAAGGGGCCTTGTTGCACCTGGGGATCATCACAACCCTATGGGGAGGGGGGAGGGGAGGAGGACAGACAGACAGACAGACACACACACACACACACACACACACACACTCTTATGCTCTTGTGTTTAAAATAATTTATTTGTAGTTGTCTTTATTTGCATTTCTGAATGGAGACTTATTTGTGTAGTATTATATAGAGATCCATGAAACAGGTGTTAGAAAAGATGATTGCTTCACTTGAGCATGGAGGGCTATAGCAGAGTCTCTGTTACCTTCTGAGACAGACAAGACAGATGGCACTGTACCAGAAAATGGTGGTATACAACATTCCTCTTCTGTCTTTACAATAGCTGGTGTCACTTTCAATTCGCCCTCTTGGAAGGGGGAGCAATAAAAAGTTTGAAATTGCCAGCCGAAATGGACTTGAGAAATACATACTACAGGTAAGCTTCATGCCATGCCACAGATGTCCTACTCACTTTCCTAATGACTTCCCATAACTTGACAAGGGTCTTCTGTCTCATTACCCTAAAGGTCACTCAGAGAATAAAAGCCCTGTGCAATTAGTACTCAGGCTGATCTGATACTCACAGTATTTTCTTATCTATAATTGCAGGCAGCTTCCAAAGAAATCAGAGATTGTTGGTTTTCAGAAATAAATAAATTATTGATGGAGCAACAAAATAATATTAAAGGTAGGTTACCTCTGCTCACTTCAGTGTGTAAAGTTATATTGACTCCAGCTTTGTAGGATGTTGCGAAAGAATGGTTTGTCAGGAACATAACTGCCCACAGTTTCACAGTTTCTGGAAGAATCTATCTTGGGTTAGATAGAGTGAGGGATTTTGTATGTGCCTGGATGTGTTTGGTTATGTTGGTGTGCTCTTTTTAGTTGTGTTCACCCACTGCCAAGGTCAACTTCTCAATCAAATATCCAAAAGCCACCCAAGAAAATGTTAACAGGGATTCATATGGTCAAAACCACTTTTCAGAAACTGTACTACATTTTTCAGAAGTTGAGATATAACTAAAAAACCATAAAATGCACTCTCTTAAAGCATACAATTAGCCTAGTTATAAGATTGTATAATCATTTTTTAAACCTCCATTAAAAAATCCTGTACCAATTTGTAATCACTCCCATCTTTCCCTCACACTAATCTACTTCTGTCTCTACTGGAGTTTCCCATTCTAGACATTTTATACAAATGAAATCACAAAACATGTAGCTCTTTTTCTCTAGATGCATTCACTTAGCATTTTAAAAGTTTCTTTCATGTTGGGGAATGTATCAGTATTTCCTTCTGTTTTGTGGCTAAATTATAGCAGTACAAAATGGACTAAGAATACCACAGACTCGGTCACTTACAATGAACAAAAATTTATTGGCTTGCAGTTTTGGAGACTAGGAATTCCAAGATCAAGAGAACAATATCTACTGAGGGTCTTCTCTGCCTCATTTTTGTAATAAGGGAGAGAGAAAGAGAAGAGAGAGACACAGAGAGAGAGAGTATGCATGTACATGTGTATGCATGTAAAAAGGGCCAAACTCATCCTACTATAAGAAGCCCACTCTTGGGATAATTAACCCAGTCCCACAATGATAGCAACAATCCTTTCATGAGGACAGAGCCTCTATGACCCAAACATTTCCCATTAGTATCCACCTTCCATTGGGGATTATTTTCCAACACAGGAACATTAGAGGACACATTCAAATTATAACAGTCATATTTGTCTATCCATTCATCTGTTGATGAACATTTGAGTTGTTTCTAGTTTTTAGATATTATAAACAGTAGTGCTGCGAATATTTGTGCACACATTTTTATGTGAGTCTTCATTTCTCATTTGCTTGGGTATTTAAGTGGAATTGCTGAGCTCTGTTGTAACTCTAATTAACTTTGTGAAGAACTTCCAAATTATTTTCCAAAGCAGTAGCATCATAGCCAATTCACATCCTTAATGTACGAAGGTTCTGTTTTCTCCACTTCCTCGTCAATGGCTCTGTTATCATCTTTGGTTGTTGTTGATATTATAATTACTTACTGCCATCTTAGTGGGTATGAAGTGATACCTCCTGGTGGTTGATTTGCATTTCCCACATGACTAATGACGTTGAGCATCTTTTCCAGTGCTTATTGGCCCTCCGTATATCTTCTCTAGAAAAATGTGTATGTCCTTTGTCCATTTTTTAATTGGCTTATCTTTTTATCATTGACCTGTAAGATTTGCTTATATATTCTGGATACTAGAACTCTTGTCAAATATGATTTGCAAGTATTTTTTCTTATTTTATACCTTGTTTTCACTTCTTTGATAGTGTCTTTTGAAGCACAAAAGTTTTTACTTTGCTGAAGTCCAATTTATTTTTTCTTTGGTTGTTCATATATTGAATATTTAAGAAACCATTGCCTGATCCAAGGTCATGAAAAGTCACACCTTTGCTTTCTTCTAATAATTTATAGTTGTAACTCTTACATTTAGGTCTTTAATTCATTTTGTGTAAATTTTTGTATACTAATTTTCACCATCATTTCAGGCTGTAGGTTTCCAAGGCTACCCCAAGAAGGAGGGGAAGGATAGGATGGAACAGGACAAGTTAAAACGCCACCCAGCTCACTGCTCATACTGAGGGTTAGCTGCTTTTCTCTAACAAATTGTCTCCAAATTACTGCAAGCCTTTAATTTTCAGTGTTCTGAAAATTTTTGTTTCTGTCAATTTTTGATAGTTTTCCCCCATGCTTTTATGTAAAAGAGACTTTTTGGAGGGTTTTTCTCTACCATTCTCACTGCTGTCTCTCACGTTTAATAACTGAGTCATCTTCAAGTTGGCTTTTTACCCTGTCACATTTTTTTTAATTGATCCTCATAACAGCAGTGGGAAAAGTCACATCACACTTCATCAGGGAGTTCTAATATTGCAATGTTGCTGGAATTAAGAAATGCCAGTCTCGTGTGAGAGTCTAGTTCTGATCATTTATACTGGCGATGATTTTATGTGTTAGGTGAGAATTTCTTACAAAGATGAAATGATACTTTATCTTTCAGACCCTTGGCAGGAAAACAACCACTTTGCTCTCTCAGTGATGCCTCTGCTCATGAGCTGGTGGGGAAGATGCAAGGGTGGATGAGGTTTTCCACATCATATGGACCGTGTGGGAAAAGACAAACTAAAGTGTGACTGGAAAACTACAACACTGCTTTTCTGTCATAAAAACTGAGTGACAAAAGTACTTGAATTAAACTATAGGCCTCTGCCAGAAATAGTAATAAAATAAATCACATGGCTGATTTTCATTTGTATAAAGATAAAACCACAGGGATAGCTATGATTTACTTTTGCCTTCCAACTATTAATACTGTGTTAAGTATGCTATGATAATTGAGTATGAGGGCCCTAGCAGCTCAGGACTGCAAGATTGACAACTGTAGCAGAAAAAGCTACTTATTTTTCCCCCAGGAACAACATTCTCTTCACAAGATCTTTCTAGAAATCCTTACTCCCTAGAGCAATCTTTCAAAGTGCAGTTTATGGATCACCTACATATGAATCACTTGAAGGGCTTTTTAAAATGCAGGTTTATGGGTCCTACCCCAGAACTGTGCAACTAGAACAGTTAGGATCAGTGCCTAGGGATATGCATTTTGCCTTAAAAAAGGGACAAGGACCTTATTCCACAAAAATTTTAATGGCTTTAGTGAGGTATATGACATAATAAATTTAATAATTGTTTTGATGCTGAAGACCATTGAGCTTTATCCCACACCTGATAACTCTTTTAACATCTGCACATACCCTGAAAGCATCACCACAGTCAAGATGTCTGTCACCCTCAGCAGTCCCTTGTGCCCCTTTGGATTTCCTTTCTCCTGCTCCTCGCTTGTCCATCCCAGGTGATTACTGATTGCCACCTGTCACTCTAGATTAGTATAAATTTTCTAGAATCGCATAATGAGAATCAAGCAGTATATCCTGTTTTAAATCTGGCTTCTGTCAGAATAATTATCCTGAGATTCATCTATGTTGCATCATGTAACAACAGGACATTTCTTTTTCTAGCTAAGTAGCCTTCCATCGTTTGATTATACCCAATTTCTTTATTCATTTACCTGTTAATGAACTTTTGTGTTGTTTCCACTTTTTGCCTATTTTGAATAATACTGCTGTGAACATTCAAGTACAATCTTTATTTGGATATGTGTTTTCATTTCTCTTGGGTTAATACCTGAGTATAACAATTAAGCCATATGGTAGATCTAGATTTACTTTTAAGAAATTGTTAACTGTTTTCCAGAGTGCTTATACTGTCATATATTCATACAGAATGTATGAGAGTTCCACTTAATGTAAATCCTCACCAACACTTGGTCTTGTCACTGTTTTTTTATTTTTAGCCCTCCAATAGGTGAGTAGTGGCATGTCACTGGGACTTAAATTTGCTTTCCCTAGTAACTAGTGGTTGAGCTTTTTTCATGTGCTTCTTTGCAATCTGTACCTCTTCTTTGGTGAAGTCTCTTTTGCTCATTCCTTTAATATTATTGAGTTTTGAGAATTTTTTGTCTCCTAGATACAAATCCTTTATTAGCTATATGCTTTGAAAATGTTTTTCTTTCAGTGTGTGGCTTATCTTTTCCTTCTCTTCAGAGTAACTTTTGCAGAGCAGAAAAATTTAATTTTAATGAGTTCCAGTTTTTAAATTTTTATGGACCGTGGGAGAAATTGACAGCAGTGACTTCATGGTGTGCCTCAGACTCCATCTCATGAACTTTCCAGCAGGACAAACGAAAGTTCTTTGCTGAGAAGGAACATCCTGAGGGTTGTATAGGCTACACTCTTTCTGAGAACAATGGCATGGTCTGAGCTGATCTTTGCTGAACTGGTGAACTACAAATCTAAGCTTATCTTCCCAACGTAATGCTTGGCAAACAAACCATGCAACTCACTTAAACGTCCTCTTTTTTGCTCTTAAAAGGTCCTCTAAACCCCTTCCGTGATGGGGCACATTCTGTTTCCTACTGGAATCTGTGTTCCCCAAATTGCATTCTGAGACACCAAATAAACACAGTTTGTTTAACAGACTGTCTGCGCCTCCATACTGAGCATAATGCTGTTAGTGTCTTTGTCTAAACACCACAAATTTTTTTTCTCCATCTTTTCTTCTAGAAGTTTCGTTGTGCTGTAGTTTAAGTGTTGCATTTACATCTTTGATCCATTTTGAGAGTTTTGTTTCTGTTTTTGTTTCATATCTGGTGAGAGGCATGGATTGAAGTCCAGTGTTTTTGCACTTCGATGTCTAGTTGGCCCAATGTCCTTTGTTGAAGGGACTATTCTTTCTCCAATTGACTATTCATATAAGTGCATTTATTTCTGTGTGTCTTATTCTATTTCATTGATCTGTTCTTCTATCTTGACATCAATACCCCACTATCTTGATTACTATAGCTTTATAATAGGATTTAAAATTAGGTAGTTTGAGTTCTCCAAATTTGTTCTTCTTTTTTCAAGTTGTTTAGGTTATTCTATATCTTTTACATTTCCATATACAGTTGTCCCTTGGTATCAATGGAAGATGAGTTCCAGGGCCCCTGGTAGATACCAAAGTCTGCAGACACTCAAGTCCCTTACATAAAATGGCATGGTTTTTTGTATCTACCTTATGTACATCTTCTTATATACTTTAAATCATCTTTAGGTTACTTTTAATATCAAATACAATGCGGATGATATATAAATAGCTGTTATAGTGTATGGTTTGAAGAATAACAACAAGAAAAAAATCTCTACATTTTCAGTACAGATGCAATTTCTTTTTCCAAATATTTTCTGTCCATGGTTGGTTGGATCCATAGATGCAGGTCACATGGACAGAGGGCCAACTATATATTTTAGAATAAGTTTGTCAATTTGTTTTAAAAAAACTTGTTGAGATTTGATTGGGATTGTGAAAAATCTATGAATCAATTTGGTGATCTGTAGATCAACTGACTTTTTAACAATATTGAGCTGAATCTACAATTTAAATTTTTACTGAATCTACCCTAACCTATAGAAAAAAAAAAACCACATTTGTTAGGAGGGCATGGTGCTTATTCAGTTAGCAACTCAGACATACAATTCGCAAGCCCTCCTCAAGGCCTGGCCCCGAGCTCTCTAGGTTGTGACAAGAATGTAAAATCCAGGTAAGAAGCAAAATCAGACCCCAGGCCCAGAGGTGGCCCAGCCCCTTGCTTTTACAGACACACAAACAGAAGTTCAGTTAACTAAGCAGAACCAGGTCTCCTGAGCCTGGGGCACCAAGCAGGGTCTGATGAAATGTCACCACGGATGATGCAAACAGTGAGGGCTCCAAGAGAGAGACCTACAGTGGACAGTGGGAGTGAATGGGAGCCAGGGCCCTTGGCTGGACTCCTGTGAGGAGATAAGGCTCACAGGGCCAAGATGCATGTTCAAGAGTGTCCAAGCAATGGAGGGAGGGTGGTGCCCAAGAATCTAAGATTGAGAACATTGGGAATGCTAGCAATTTACACCTGTCTAGTACTTTACAAAGCTCTGACATAAACATTTGCACTCCAGTTCGTTTGTACCCAATCCTACACCACCTTTCAACCTTGGGATTGTTTGGCATAAGAACTCTGTACTCAAGGCAAGGCATGCAGAGACCTTGGGGACAGGGGAGAGAACACTGGGAGCCAGGGAGGGATGTGGAGTCAGGGCCTCTAGGAGGCAGCTGGCATTGTATCCACTGGGTCAGCTAGCATTTGGGCAGGGAGGAGGAGAGTGGAGCTGATTGGTGGGGCATGGCTGCTCCAGAAGTTAAGGAGAGAGTCAGGCACTGTGGTTTGGAACATCCTCCTCATTTGTGGCAGGACCACCTGTGATTGGAGGGTAGAGGGGCACTGTGAGGGAAGTCCAGGCCCACTAGGGAAGGGTTCTAGCCACAGGCAACTATGCAGGGCAGTACTCTAGGTGGAATACAAGGCAAGTCCCAGTCTTCATAGAAATAAAGGCTGAAGTCCCACTAGCAACCGGGAACACCTGCCAGTCACATGAGTAATAAAAAGAGGCCCCAGCCTTTGAAGATCATAGATCTGCTTCTAAATAAGCATATTTGGTGATGATTTGGAGCCTGGCTTGAGAAGTGTATGGATAGAGTAGAAGAAGATAAGATTGAGGAAATGGGATGGCCTCAAACATCAGGCTGAAGACTTTACCTTTTAGAGAGTTATAGGCCACAGGGAGCCACTGGAGTTGAGATGTTGAGATCTGTTGTTGTTCTTACACCTGGGGTAACACCTGGATAAAGAATTTGATTCTTATCACTGTCCAGGGACTCATGACCTGTCCCTTACCTAATGATAGAATTTGGGTTGAAGTAAAAAAAACAAACACTTAATGGGTACTTTGTTTATTCCTTAATTCAGTATTAAGGGAGCTAGCTGTTGAAATTTGGATGGACCCAAAATCAAGGTACACAGAGGACCCAGCAGGATGGGTAGAAGAAGTGGGAAGGGAAGCCAGGACCAGAGGTTGCCAGAGTCTACAGAAACATTTAGTAAATTTCTGGGAAAATAAGATCAAGATCTACATACTTACATATATTTTCATAGTATTCTCTCTACGTTTTATCAACATATAAAATCATTTCGAATTTGCTTAAGTTTGAGAGTGCTATTGTGTTTTTGTTTTAGGCCAAGGGAATCCACAGTTTGAAGCAAGAACTAGGTAAGTACTGATTTTTTTAAAGAAATGTTAAATGCTACAGATAGCTCATATTGATTTTTCACAACTTTTTATAGAGCTTTATTTTTAATATTTAACTTATTCCAAGAGATTTCCAATTTCTAAGTAATATCTCTTTCCTGACCCCACTGCTAGACTAAGCTGTCTTTTCTAGTACTTGCTGGCTGTGTCACCAGCTGAGGTTCTACCTACCATCTAGAAACCTCCCTAAATTGCCCTTGCATCTGACATTTTCTTAGCTTTCATATAAGAACCTCGAATTCTATTCCTATCTACATGGCTGTGCTGGCCTTCTTGCTGAGTAGGCAAAAGTACCCTCCAATATCAAGTCTTTCAGCTTCCTCTCTCCATGTATCACTGTCTGCTCTTCATTCCCCTTTGTCTGGGAGGAAGATGTGTCACACTTCTTTCAGGTGTCAGTCTCAGGGGTGCCCCTTGCCCATCTATTTCTGCCCCTTATATCCTCTCTCTGTCTATAACTCCTCTCCCTGCCCAAGGCCCTCAGGAGGTGCCCAATATATGCCTGTTGAAGAGTCCTGTAGACTGTGATCCAGGGGCCTGCTTAGATTTCTAGCTCATTTGGCCTGAGCTCTAACCCAAAGAGATGACAGAGGTGGCCTTGAGATCTCTTGAAGCCAGATGAGTCACTATCCCTTCACTCTGTACTCATGAGAGAGTACTCTAATACAGTGTTAAACAGGCTATATTATAATTTTGTGATGTGTTTACACTTTTTCTTGCTTACTAAACCAGGAATTCCCTTAGGGTGAGGAGGTTGTCCTACTAGTTTTAGCTTTCCTTGAGCCTCACATACAAGGACTTGTCACCTGTATAGGTTCTCAGTAAATATTTAGTGAATAAACAAGTGAAAGAATAATTAAAGAATAATATTAATTATTATTAATTATGTTATTAATAATAAGTGAAAGAATAATAAAAGAATAATTATTTTAATATTCTTATTATTCTTATTATAATTTGAATAATTATTCAATGAATAATCAAATAAGGCCAGCAAACCACCCTGAAAACAGTCAGAAGGGTGATGAGGTTTAGTTCAGGCTTATCTCGTTCATCTTGGTTCATCGGTCTACAAGGTGTTTATTCATTGACCTAATCTAATCCAAATGGCCTGGTACAATCGTTGGTATTTCAAGCCGATAAAGATGGGAGAAGGGAGTTAAAGTGAGCCAGTGAACCAGTTTCTGAAAAGACAAGAAAGGGGGGAGGGATTCTTCCTCTCCCTTCTCCCATTAAGATTCATATCCAGTTAGATGTTAACTATATAATCCAGCAAGTGGTGTCCTTTGAATATTCCCTTCTTGAATGTTATCTACAAAGCTGCAACAGGTAAGGAAGGAGAGAGAGAGAAGGCAGTCCTTAAGACTTCGGACCAGAGATAACTTGGTAAGAGTCAGTGTTGCTCCTGCTGGTAGGAAGGAATGCATGTGCCATTCATTCCAGTAATTCAGTGCTCATGTGTATTTTCCTAAAGCAAAGGCAATGGAGTGGAATATGCTCCCTGGATTGACAATACGGAAAGAGCTACAACTAGCCAGGAAGACCCAGTCTCTAACGTGCATGGGATTAAAGGTAGGATCCAATGCAGAGTGAGGCGCAGAAGCAGGCAGTGACATGGGCTGCTCAGACACTGAGGAAGGCATCACTCAAGTCCCAGCCCCTCACTAATTAGAAGAGGGAGAAATAGGAAAGATCTTATGCCACCTAAATGGTACAAAATGGATTTCCTGCTGCTCATATGTCTAGCTCTAATTTGGCCAGGACTCTCACGTTGAGAAGGAACTCCCTCTTAGGGAATGATGGCTGCAGGGATGACAGCATTACTAGAGGTCTGTGCCTTTGAATCAAGACACTGGATGGAGGCCCTTTATTTCTTGCTCTAGCCAAGATTTATGAAGTAGCTTCCCAAAACTTTCTGTGAAGAGCTTAGTATCTCTAGACCTAAGTATGTCCCCGTAAGATTTGGGCTCTAACCTCTTTGTGCGTGGCTTTTCCTAGGGGCACAATTGGATAGGGGATTAAAGAGGAAATCAGGCATTTTTATATTTCATATTTTAATGAATTAACAATAGATCATGTGTCCATGGGGCCTTGTATATGCTATTTTTGTCTTCATTTTTCTTTTGCTTTTTAGTTATTTAAAGATAATCTTATCCACAAAAGCCTCCTACTTTATGTTTTTGCCATGGCTCAGAGTGAGTAAATGTCTTGTGAATTTAGAATTTGAAATTTTGGTTTTTAGGCTGCCATAAATAAAACACCATAGACCAAGTAGCTTAAGTAGTAGAAATGTATTCTTTCACAGTTCTGCAGCCTGGAAGCCTGAGATCAGATGCCAGCACAGTCAGGCTCCAGTGAGCGCCCACTTCTTGGCTTGTAGATGGCTGCTTTCTTACTATGCCCCCCATGATCTCTGTTTTCAGAGACTAGTGACAGAGAAGTGGCTCTTGGCATCTCTTCTTACATGGTCCCTAATTCCATCAGATCAGGGACCTGTCCTCCTGATTACCTCTCCAAGTCCCTTTCTCTAAATACCATCACATTAGGGCTTCCACATGTGTTTTGAAGTAGGGATAAACAATAGCAGACTTTTGTAATTAATTTGGTGGAACATAAAATGTATCTTCTAGGGCATACTTAATTTGGCAAAAGCCTCTGGGATACATTTATTGAGTACCTAAACAGTATAAAAAGTCATTAAACACACACACACACACACACACACACACACACACACACACACACACACACACACACACACACACACCCTTTCCACCCTATCCACCCTATCCCTCCCAGGCCAACACTAGCTAGGGTCAATTTATCCTTCAGACTTTTAGATTCTCAAATGCTCATGACCATGAGTGGCAAATTAAATGGGAAGATCACATAATTAAAAATGGAATGATCAGTCTTGGTCAATAAACGTTAATAACAATGCCATTTAATAAGGCAGTGATTCTCAGGGTGTGTACAGGTGTTACAAAATGTTATATTTAGAAAATGAAAAGTGACCTACTTTCTTCTTAGTACAGACCAGAAACAAGTGAGGGATTCTTAACTTATGGTCCCTACACCTTCTCTTCATGAGGCCTGTTTCTCAAAGGGATGTAGGAGGATCTCTGGGAGGCATGAAATTTTTATTATTTTCCTGGGAAGATTTTGGCTTGGCTTATAAAAAAAAAGTTTTTGAAAAAAAGATAAAGCTAGATATATATCTCCCATTGTTTCAGATTTATTGTGGTATTTGGATCAAGTCCCATTCTAGCTTCCTGCAAAGTGAGGGAAGATCCCCTGGTATTGGGCTCCTTTTTCAGCTGGGCCCCCAAAGACCAGTAAAATGTGCTGAGACTTACATTCTAAACCCATTGGGCTGTTTATTTAACAGATGACCTTTCAGGTGATTGGGAGCTATTTAAAAATTGAACCTACCAAGCCAAGTCAGGGTATGTTGGGTTCTTGAAGTGTTTAATTCCTTTTTTTCATATGCCAAGAGCCCCTTAAAAGGACCTTTAAGGTCATCTGTTTGAGAACAAAAGGATCAACACTGGCAAAACCTATAAATTTGCTGATCACCAGGACATATGAACAAATTGATAGATTTAGAGTTCTTCCTTCACCCAGAACATGGAGTGGGGGTTTTCCTGGTGCCTTTCTTTCCTTCCCTCTGTCTCTACCCTGATAATTTAAGGTCATCAGACCAAAAAGTCAAAGGGGGTGTGGTAGGAGGGACAGAAGAAAGTAGGGATGACAGTGAAGTGTGACCTGTTTTAGATTTGGTTATAGACTGTGTCCATATGTGTTGTTCAACTGCCAAGAAAAAGCCTGATGCAGACAATGGACCTTGGGTGGTGACAATGTGTCCATGTGGGTTCATCAGTTGTAACAATGCAGCCCTTTGGTGAAAGACACTGGTGAGGCTATACATGTATAGAGACAGGGAAAAAACAGGAAGTCTCTGAAACTTCCTCTCAATTTTGCTGTGAACCTAAAACTGCTCAAAAAAAAAAAAGAAAATCAAGTCTTCAAAAAACTCAGTAAACCCATGTGTAGCATGATAGCAGAGTGTTGACACCCTTCCCAGTTCCTGTTTATGAGGCTGGTGTGCCCATTCATCTTGCAGTTGCTTCAAGAGTAGTTGATCACACCTCACCATCATGCTTTCTGAGAATTGCCCTCAGCTGACAGAGCCACCTAGCCAGGAAATGCCCCAGAGGTTCTATCCTGCCCTAAGGGCCTATGAGTCACCCATGGCTTACTTTGGTACTTTGTCCCAAGATGGTACAGCTGAGGTGCTTCCATGCTCTAACATTTCCCAGGGGGTCAGGTTGATGTGAGACTTCAGCTGAATCCACATCTGTGGCTCCTCTTCTGCCCTCACTGCCTTCCAGGTTTCATCTGAAACCCTTTTTTAATAACACACTTGGATAGTCTGCTTCTGGGGAACCTACCCTGCAGCAGTTTAGGACCAGGAGGGATGCTAGCATTGGGTCACTTACTGGCCATATTGTAATGAAAGCCCCAGCACTGGTGGAGTTTTGAGAGTCCTGGTCCCTAACCTGTGGCAGCAGTTCAATAGCCCAGATCTTCACTGAGGCGACCTGGGGTCAGACACAGGGGGAAGGGACACAGCAGCCAGGGCAATGTCTTCAGCATTTGAGAGGTTTGGTGAAATGTTATCTATCAGGATGGGGAACTAGGAGGCTTCAGGTAAGTACTAAAGGACTGAAGAGAAAGCAACAGGCTTTCTCCTACTTGGTCACTTACCTAAAGCCCAGTGTGACAATCAGCTTGCCCCTCCCAAACATGCAGTCTCACACAGCAAGGAGGCAGACTGAGCAGAATTGCAAGTGGCAGAACTGAATTCTCAGCCTCATCAGGGCTGCTGTAGGTCACTTGTGGCTCCTAGTGTCAGCAGTTGAGCAGGTAAAGTCAGCCCTGAGATGGAAGAAGGAATAAAAATGTCTGGGCACATGCTCTTGACCCTCTGGACTGGCAGGGTGGCATACTCCCCTTACTGAGGATAGACTCGTCCTGGTCCCTTAAGACAATGCAGAAGCCTCACAGAAGGCAAATAAGACAATGCTTGCTTTTGGCCAAGTTTGTCCCCACCCTCTTCTTGGCCCCTTCCGGAATAATAACAAGGATTCAGTTACAGTATGACCTGACTACAGAAGAGGCATGTGGATCTATCGGCATGAGCTCAAAATGTGAGAGCCTTGGAATTGTGCTTTAATACACCCCAAAGAAGACCCTCTGCTGAGGAGGTGCCAAATGGCCAGACTGACTGGACAGCTTGCCAGTAGGTATCGGCAAGCTTTGGCAGCACACTACAGCCTACACCACAGGCTCATAAATGGAGATGGCTTGGTAAGGGAATTGGGGACAGTGCGTGTGCCCAGCCATGTGGGCTCCTTGTCATAAAAACTGAGCTATGATGTGAGGGTAACTTACTGTGACATCTGTCACCACACTGCTCACCAGGGTTGATTTTGTCGGTGTGCTCTTCCTCCCTCACCGCTGTACATGAGTTACTCCTGAAGCTGTGTGATCAGTTAGAGAGGACCGTTCTTCAGTCAAGGAAGCTAGTGGCTGCATTCCCCTCCTAGAACATCCAAACTAGCCCTCTCAGGTCCATCTGTACAACACACAGCAGCCACACTTCCAAGACACTAGACTCATTCAAATGAGGTTACATGTGGCACTCTGCCTTTAAGATTCATCTAGCTGCCCACTGTAGAATGTCCAACCTGCCAGCAGAGGCCCACTCTGAAGCTCAGTTTGGTACTGTCCCTTAAGGAAACATCAGCCCCTCTCCAAGCCAAAAAGTAGAGTGTGCAATCAATAATATAACATTGCTTTGCTCAAGGGACTTGCTATAGCAAAAGAGGAAGGGCTGTGAATGTGTGACCCCTAGGTCCTTCCTCATTCAGAAGCTTCCAGTCTGATAAGGAGTGGGCAGCAGTGTGAACTCAGTACTGTGGGAAGGGGTGCTGTCCCTCACTATACAGTATGTAGCTTAAACTCATGGCTACTTTGTAGTGATGTGAATCATTAGGCAGAATATGTGGATCTGGAAGCCAAGACATCAAATAGATTGTGACTTTGCTTGCTATCACTCCTAGAGACCCACACGAGTGACTCCCCACTGCCACATGCACACACACACACACACACACACACACACACACTTTAGCCTTGACGAGTCTAGAGGTCTTGGTTACCAAGGGGACATTTCCACTAGGAAACACAGTAAGAGTCCTATTTAACTTAGATCTGTCTGCCACCTGCTGCTGCAGTTGTCCTAGACTGTACCTTTAAGTTACCATCTCCCTCCCACTCTAGACACACACACATCCCCCACCCCATCTGGTACTTCTTTGATGTCATGCACAGTGATTGTCCTAGACTTGCATCAGGCCATGCTTCTTCCTACATGCTCGCCCATTTCCAGTTACAGCCAGGCATGGGAGTACTGAGAGATGGCGCAGTGGGTCGCCTGAGCACCTATCTGCCTCTGCTGGGCAGCAGCCTTTCTGCACAATGGTCAGGACCAATTCCTCCTTCTTGTATGGCAGGGCCTTGCTTTGCCTGACAGTTTACTGGGATGAGGACAGAGTGGTAGGTCTCCTCATGTCAGAATGGGTAAGTCCCAGATAGGATAAGGGAGGAAGGCAGGAATTCTTCCATGGAACCATGTATTTCCATGGTGGGACTGTCACAGAACATGTGGGCATCCTGTTTCTAATGTTTGTGGTTAGCCAACCTCTCTGTGGTAGCTGACAATGAAAATAGGAGCGTTAAGCTAGTAAGTCTACTGACTTGGATTGCGCTGAGAAGTTTGAATTCTGAATTCACTTTTGTCTCTGATATGCAAAGTACTGACCATGTGAAAGGTATATAAAATGAGAACAAGTGTCTACTACAGAGTGCCAGAGGAAGGGCCTCTGAGGGCCTAACTTGGGTCCTCTGCTTGGGTCTCCCACAGGCTTGGAGGTGGCCAATGGGTTCTCCACTGCAACTGCATAAGGGTTGTTTCTTGGCTAACTTTTGTGGCATTACTTACTTTTAGGCCTAAGTAATTTACTTTCGTCATCATTATTATTATTATCATTAAAAATTATTTCAGGCACTCTTGTTTTTTAACGAAGATAATAAGTTCCAGCAAACATTCCTCTCCAGTGAAATTGTCGGTTATTTTAGATATCTGTCCAATTGGGTCTGAACTATTTTAAGTTGTCTAATTATAAAAAGTAATATACAGGCTGGTTCACACCTATAATCAGGAGTCAGAGGATCAGGAGAATCTTGGTTTGAGGCCAGGCTGGGCAAAAAGTTAGACCCTATCTCAACAAAAAATCTGAGAGTGGTGGTGCACAGCTGTGATTCCAGCTATGCAGGAGGCATACATAGAAGGATCATGATTTGAGGCTGGCCCCAGGGCAAATATAGGAGTCATATCTTAAAAGTAACTAAAGCAAAAAAGGGCTGGGGTGTGGCTTACATGGTAGAACCCCTGCCTAGCAAGTGTGAGACTCTGAATTCAAACCCCAGTACTGCCAATTACTAAAAAGTGCTACAGAAAAGTACAAACAAAAAATGGAAATCAGACATAACCAGATATAAACACTATAAATATCTTCATCCAGACTTTTGTCTGTAGAAATGCATGGTTGTTAAAAAAAAAATGGAGCCATACTGTAGTTGCAGTGAATTTTTCAATAAAAAAATTCCCTTGAAGTGTACCAGACTTTGACCAAATCCAACTACACATTTCCGCCTGTCCTTCACCCCTACTACCCACTTTTGCATGAGTTCAAAAGGGCAGGTAGCTGCTGAACTAGGAGGTGATTTCCCAGTTGTGAAGTTTTTCTGATCCCATCTCAGAGCAGCTCTGAAGGTCTCAGACAGACAACTCAGACTGCCCTGGAAGCCGGCCAGGACTTTGACAGCAGAAAACTCACTGGGCAAAAAAATGCGCCTTAAGAATATGTGGAATCCGAAGCAATTTATTGAACACTTAGGAGTGATTCGCTTCCTCTTAGCCAAGACAGCTTTGCAAATCAAATCGACACTTCAGCCATACTATGTCCAAGTTTCCATTCTTGGCCACCAAACAAAAGATCCTAAAGCAGATTAGTACTGGTGGGGGGTGGGGGGTGGGGAGGGGCTTCTCAGGTGCTCTAGAGCGCCCCTGGGAGGATCAGGCAGAAAGCTGACCCTTACATTACACCCTAAGGGAGCTTTGTTAAGCAGTGCAGGCTAACTACTAAGGGCTCAAACTCTGACATCAGACAGACCCAGGCTCAAGTCCAGCTCCATCTCTTTGGACTTAGTTTCTTTGTGCCTAAGTTCTTTTATCATTTTTTTTACTGGAGGTGGGCTGGGATGTAGCTCAGTGATAGAGTACTTGCCTAGCATACTCAAGGCCCTGGTTAAGACAAAAATAAGATGGAGGTAATAGAGCGTTGTCTTATTGTAGGAATCTAGTGAGATTCCTCTGAGGTCAGTGCCTACATCTCTGTTGGCATAGGATTGTTAACAGTTTGTTGCCTACTTTTGCCCCAAGGGAAGGGAAGGGCTGATGAGGCTTATTCTCCATCCCACCCCTCAAGTAAAAAGGGTGCGCTTTGGTCCATGAGATAGAGATAGTCTTTAAAAAGCTGGGCCTGATTGTACAGAATTTTTAAAATCCAGTTTGAAAGAAAACAGTTTGACTATTTGAATGTCTATTACAGGCTAAGAGCTGCTTCTGAAGCCGCAGACTCCACAGCAGTCCCTTGGTGCCATCCAGTGGACAGCAAGAGAAAATCAATTTTGTTTTCGAAGTCTGTTTTATCACAAGTGTGTGTTCTGATGAGGGTACTTTAAACGCATTAATAGGTTCATTTGTGGATAAATTTCATTGTTTGTTTAAGCAAAATTAAAGCAGAATTCTAAACCCTAGGTGCTAAGACTAGATTCCCTGAACCACGTAGGGTTTATGTGACATGAGCTCTGAAGATCACCTACTGAGGGTAAAGAGAATATTCCCCAGTCCCCTGGCAGTGTGAAGTTGCATGATGTCCTTTCCTATTCTGCTCCTTCCCCACTATCACTCTATCCTTATCCTGCTGCATGACCTGGGAGTACCCCAGGACACGCAGGGCACACCAGCCCAACACACTGCTAAATCTTGACTGGGACCAATCACTGCATTTGGCAAAAATGCACCCATCATTTAACAATTTGCTGTCATCAGATTGAACACTTGTTAAGGACCCTGTGTGTTTGGTTTGGTTTGGTTTTTCTGAGGTGTATACAGGAGTATGTGTGTGCATAATACTTTTTTACCCTTATAATCTGTTTCCTCTCCTGAGTGGGATGAGACATTAGCAAACAAATTTCCCTCAGATGTAAATAACCACAGCACACCTGGAATGCACAAAGATGCTCCCAAAAACCTGTCTTCAGAATTACTATAATTATCATTAACAGTAATCATAGTATGTGCTATTTCTGAGTTCCCAGCAACTGAAATGAACTCTCATCATACACATTTTTGCTGATTCTCACACCACCTCTCCAAAATAGGTAGTGCCACCTCCATGTTCGAGATAAGGAAACAGGTGCTCAGAAAGGGTGTTTCCCAAGATCACACGGCTAGTGAGTGGGAGAAGCCCACTCCCCGCGCTGGGCACTGGCTTCTGACCTGCTCACCCGCACACACGCCTGTGACTGGACAGACCCTGAGTCTGAGATTCAGGGCCCCTCAGTGCTTCCAGCTTCTTATACCTAGGACTTAGTACCTGAGAGTCAGGTGGCAGTGAACCCAACAGGGGATTGTATATGCAGATGATTGAGGTGGAGCTCAGGCAGCTCAGGAAGCTGGGGCTGGAAGGGCCTGGCTAAGGGAGGGAACATGGTGCAGAAGCCAGGACAGCAGGGTCCTGACCCCTCTTAGGGCCTTGGGAAAGTCCTCACCATGGCCACAGCCTGGTCAACAGCCACTGTCTGGATGCCCATGAGCCCCATTTTCTTCCTGTAAATGTGGGCATGACCACAGGATGTTCTCTGAGATATACGGGTTCTAAGAATCCTAGATTTCTTTCCAGGAGCCCAGGTGAGATTTCAGGATTCCTGGTAAATAGGGTATTGTCTCTGGCTTAATTTTGTGAGTATATTTATAAGTATACAGTGTGTTAGGGTATAAAATTGGCACTTCCATCTAAAAAGTATGGAAAACTCAATTCTTGAAAAACTGGGGCCCCAGTTGTCTCCACTCTCACCTGAGGTGCTGGGTGCTGAGAAGGCCACTGGCCTCTGTTACTGTCCAAGGAGGCCTTTTGTCTTTCTCTCCCTGGTCACAGGTGGAGTTCACAGTCCACCCACAGGGAAATGGAGCCTGGGTCGTATTAGAGCTTGGAGACCCTTCCTCTCTTCAGGTTCAGGCAAATGCTTGCTCAGGATGGGGAATGGCCTAGATGACCCCTGGATGTCAGTCAAGTGTCTGAGAGCCCCTCTGTGTCCTACCCTGTGTCCCTCCCACCCCCTTCAACACCTAGCAGGAGAGCAGGGACAGCAGCCCCAGCTCTAGGTTATCAACCCCTGGTGCCAGTTACCCTGCTGAGTGACAGAACTTGTCAGGAACTTCGCAGTTCTCCTATTGCCTTCCAGCCCTGTTTGCCCCTGGAGGTGGGGGTTCTATGGCTGAAGAAGGCCTCAGCCTCCCAGCGGGTAGCTCTGTGGTCCCTGGCAGCTGGGCATTGTCTGGACACTGAGGCTATGGGCCCTCAAGACACAGCTCTTGCAGGTCACTCAGGGTATGATTGAGGAGAACACAGCTGTCTCCATCCCTCCAACCTGCCTCACAGACCTTTCAGAAAGATGTCCCCCCATCCTCACCATTTGTTCCTGGCATAAGGGACCCTAGGACTGGACAAGTGCTCTAATGGGGAGAGGAGTCTCTCTAGTTTTCCTGCAGAGTTGGACCTGGAGGGTGGAGATGGCGCATGTCCCTGAGGCAGATCCCCTCTGCCAGCATCCCTCACCATTTCCCATATATGTGTTAGTTATCTCCAGTATAGCACAGATTCTCTGAACCTTAGTAGCTTAAAGCAGCAAACACGTATGATCTGTTTCTGAGCCACAGCTCAGCCAGGCGGTCTGAGTTGCAGGTCTCATGTGAGAGTCCAGGAAAGCTGGTGGCTAGCACTGCAGTTCTCTGGATGCTCCAGGTCATCATCCACTCCAAGTGCTATATACTCCGCAGAGTGGTTGGAACTCAGGTCTTTCAGTTCCTGTGTTGCTTCCCACCCCTGTCCACTCTGGGGAAGGCAGAGCACCCTTGAGACTCCTCTTTAGGGCTCCCCTCCAACCCTGAAGGCCCCTTATGTTCCCAGCAAACAGTGAGGACAGGGAAATGACCATCTTGCTGAAAGATGGTTCCATGCCTTAATGATAGAACTTAAGAGATGAGGAGTGTCTCTGAGACAGGCACTGCCTGCTACATCTTGCCATTAGCCCCCACCCTCCTTTCCTTCCCCAAGGCTGCTCCAGCAGGGAGTTTATCTCCATGGAAACCTCTGAAGGTGATGAAGGAGCAGAAGATATGGAAAAGGAGAACAGCGCTCTGAGCGTAATTTATTTCATACTCTCCCTCACACCTGTTCATCAGCTGCTCCTGCCCCTCTCCCTCTCTCTATCCCCTCCTCCGTCCTTTTCATAATTCTCCCTCATCAGGATGTGGTCTAATCAGGAAGCTGAGGTCACTGGACCTTCAAAGTGGCTCTCCACTTTCCCATCCCTGCATGTCCCCACATTACTGTCTCCTTGACAATGTGCTGGTTTCTGGTCCCAATTAGGCACTCCTGCTGGGAGGTGGGAGAGCTGGGGTGGGCACTCAGTGGGCCTTACCTGGGCCAGGGCTCTCTCCCAGGGCTAACTCTTGAGCCCGCCCCTGTCCCCACCCTTCCAGCTCTCCGGACTTTTCCAGTTGGACGACTGCGATGACACGTGTGGCTCCAAATCTGTTTCCCTGTATACGGGAGAAAGCATGGAAGGAGAAAAAGAAGAACGCGACGAGGAGGACAGGTGAGTGTGGCCGAGGAAGGAAAGCGAACCTACTTCCAGTGCGTCTCTGACTTTTGTTTTGGAATTTCAGAGGGACGAGCAGCACCGAGGAGCACGCCGGGCTGTCGCCTGGCTTGGCGGCTCCTGCCGGGGAGACTACTCGTGTCCAGGCTCAGGCGGCGCGGACGAGGGCAGGACGCGCGAGGCCCTTCTCCACCGAGAACTGACCTTGGTCGCAGCCCATCGCGGCTCCTGGCCCTGCCCGGCCGCCGCCTGTGCCACCCACTCCGCGGGGATTGACAAGCCGCGGCGGTGCGGGGCCCGCGCTCCTCAAGCAGAAAGCGGCCAAAGGACCTTGGCGGCTGCGGATCTGCGCCCTGGAGGGATCCGGGGACCGCTGGGGACACCGGGGACCGCTGGGGACACCTGGGACCGCGGGGCAGCTGATCGCCTGCGCGGGCGCGCGGAGCTCCCCGTCCGTGCTTTTTGCTCTGGGCCAAGTGGGAGCTTCAGCAGCATCGCGGGCCTCTACCCACTAGATAGATGCCAGGAAACCCGCCGCCCCACCCTCCACCTGTTTATAGAGTGTGACAATCAAAAATGCCTTCGGACCTTGCTGGGAACTGACACCCACTTAGCCCGAGCCTTGGAGGAGCCATGGGAGCCGCGCCCCTCTCGGGATCCACAGGAGAAAGTCAGTGCAGTGCGCGCTCCCACGCTCCCGCGTTCCCACCCAGCGCGGGCTGCAGGGAAGGGCGGAGGTAGTTGCCACACACTAGTTTTTCAAATCTTATTTTCAGTTATCTCTCTGCTTAGTCCTATTCATTTTCATTTATGTTTAGCTTTCTAGTTACTCAGTTTTATACCTTTAGACATCTATTTATAATTCTTTTATTTCTAAGGTTATGTAGTTTTGGGTTTTGTTTTTCATTTTCAGTTATTTAGTTATTTCGTTGAGTTACAGATTTTTAAATTAATTAACAAAATTATTTTTTTTATTATCTCTTTACAATTATCTGAGTTTTCTGTTTTTAGTTATGGGAGTTCTTGAGTAATTTTTTTTACAGTTAAATAACTATTTCAAACTTACCGAAAGTTTTTGAATTCCTGTCGAGTTATTTATTTTCAGAGTGAAATGTTATTTACTAGGATTTTTTTCCTGAGTTATTTGGTTTTAGAGTTCTTTTACTCATACAGGTGGGTTTTTGTCAGTTATTTTAGATTCTAAGTTATTTTTAAATTCATTTATTTTCTGAGTTATTTGGATTTTGTGTTATTTTAGTTTTTAATTATTTTCAAACATTTTCTGAATTTTTTATTTTGAGAATTTTCTATTTTTAGTTATTTTCAGTTACTTAGTCTCCATTATTCCTTTTTCAGTTGTGTCTTTGCCATTTCATTTTTTCCTCTTTATTTTTATTTATTTAGATTTTCAGTTATTTAGAATTAGAATTACTTGGCCTATCAGCCAGATCAATCCAGAGGAAACACTGTATCAGTTATTTTAATAGAGAGAATTTAAAGAATTGCTATTCAGTTACTGGAGATTTTGAAAAGAAGAAGAAATTCTACTGAAATATCATGGAGATTTTAAAGAAGCAGCTACCACCCCAGGAGCTAAGGGGACAACAGGAAGAGCTTGGATTGTCACAATTCAGAAGGCTGGAGGTGGCCCCAGGGCTGGGGTTGGAGACCCTGGTTGAAGAGGCCCTGCCTATGGCACAGGTGGCTCGGGGGCTTGGGGTCTAGGATCCAAGCTGGATGCAGAAGAGGTGTGGCCGATGGGTGCTGGGGTCTCTGAACGCATGCTTGTGAGACCGCTACAGGGGTCCCTGCTGCTACAAGAGCCTACTATGGTCTCAGAGTGGAGGTGGTCGCTAGGCATAGGCATAGGCCTAGGACCCAGAAGGGAGCCACCTTCTGCCCTCCTCCAACTCTGATGAGGAGAGAATGGTGGCTGAGAAATGCCAGCTGTCACTCTTAGCTCTGGGGTTGCTTGGTTTTAGAGTTAGTTTGGGACTTAGTTCCTTTGCAATTGTCAGGGGTCATTTATTTTTATGTTTTCCCTGCACATGGGATCTGGCAGAGTCTTCAGTCCCCTGATTGCTTTAATGAAACCATGACCTTCCTCTGTGTTCTGCATCTACTTTGGACCCCAGACCGCAAGGGCAGAGATTAAGGGACAGACTGTTAAGGAGGGTCTCCTCTGAATAATTGTCCAGCAGAGCATTCCTGTGTGAAATTTTCCAGAAAGTGAATTTGTGTTGTACACCCACCCTGCCCTCTCCCCCTTTCCTAACAACAAAGTATCTTGTTAACAGTGTTTCAAATTTGTACACTATTTGCACAATAAAACAAAGTTCTTCCCAAATCTTGTATCTGTAATCTTAGGCTCTTGGACTAGATGAGGGCGTTCCCTCAGCTTCCCAGTTTCCGCACAAAATCACCAGAACATGAGATCTACTGTGAAAAGCACTTCAAGGTCCTAAATAGCAGTTAGCCATGAGTGATGAGTGAGGTGGGATAGATAGATGAGACAGAAGAATACTATTTTAATAGACATTAAAAGGGCCAGACTCAAACACTGAAACTAGAAAATAAAAACTAAAAAGCCAAAGCAGCTAGTCACCCCTCTCATCTCTTTTTAGATGCTTACGTACAGAACAGGGAGACCCAAAGCTAGCTGCATCAGCCTTCCTCTGAAATGTTACCAAGCTGCAGGGCTCCTTGGATAGGTAAGGGGCAAAAAGAATGAAAAGCACGTCCAGCAAAGGGAGGTCCTAAAGCACACCTATTGGCCCTAGGATCTGAGAAGTCCTGGATGATACCTCCCTGTTTCAGCACCCATCTTAGCCACCAGATCCAATATTGTAATGACCACATATATTCCCCTAGCTTGGAAAGTATAGGACTGAGGGATGAGGATTGCCACTTTGAGTCTTCACTCCCATTTCCTGCATGGGGAGCAGGAAATGTTTCCCTCTTTTTTTCCCCATTTCTCCCACTTTTATCTTGTGATACTAAATTCCTTTCCTAATAAACTTTACTCTTACTTTTACTACATTTTCTCATCTTGTCTGTGATAAGAACTGCCCCTTGCCACCATTCTGCAGCCTGAGCCGCAGTTGGTCTCATCCCTTGCAGAACAAAGCCCCACTGTCCCTTATCTCCTGCCACCTCTCTTTGCCCGTCCCTAGACCCTCCTTTCTCCCAAATGCTACTTAAGGCCAGACCCGCCGAGAGAAGCTGCTGCGCCATTTTTTCTTCTCGGCCAGCCGCCTGCTTAGTAAACTTTGGACATGAGCTACCTCTCGTGAGCCTCCTTTGTGTGCGGTGTGTGGCGTTTTCCTAACAGTCTGAATGCTTCCCTTGCTGTACACAGAAGTGAGGTATGTATCAATGGATCAGGTCTAAACTTTCCAGGAACAAAGGAGCCGCACAAGGTGGAGGTTTTAGGAAGAACTTATTTTGGTATAACAGGAAAAAGTAGGGAGAAGTGGGGGTGGGGTTGGGGGGTGGAGAAACATTCATGCAGGAAAAAGGGAGTGAAAACTCAAAACAATGGTTTGTATTGTTACACTGAGTCGCAGAGGAGATAGGAGGTGGGAGACAGCTCAAACACCAGCACAGGGTTTATTCAAGAAGAAACCCTGCAGAGGGCAGGATGTAGCCATAGCCAGAACCCCACCCACTGCTGCTTATAGACTTGGGGTAGATACAGGGGAGGGGGTGTGGAGGGGAAGTTTAGCTGGGTGAGAAAATTTTTCTGGGTTTAACAATTGCTAGGGGAAGCTAGAGGAGATGGATGCTCAGCCAGCTCTGAGCCCCAGGGCAAGATGAGAGTTTGTCATTCCCTGGAGGTTAGATGTGGTTCTTCCAATAAGTGGTGCGGTGTCTCCTGTAAGCTGCCTGCAAAGGTGGGGGGTCTGATCCTAACATGGCTTCCCTGTCGTTCACCATAACTCTTACCTGTGGCCTTTATACTTTCTGAGCTGGAAGAATACATGCAGTCATATTGTTAATGGCAACAATACAGGCTGTGATCAGAAAACTTCCAAATTCTTTGTGTCCCACAGGGAAGGTGCCATCACAGGACACATGGGTGTAAATGGAGTTTATTAAAAGTTAGGGAAGGGAATTACAAAAGGGAGCGTGGTGGGTGCAGGTGGAATCTGGAGGCAGAGAGCATGCTTTTCCTCTCCAGGTACTTTTAAAACCTACCTATGGAAAGGGAGGAACCCGGTGATTTCCATCCAATAATCGATGAGTGGGGAGGACCATGGGTGCTCCCAACCCCCCAGCCAGGTGAGAGTGGTCCCTAGGCCAGGTGTGGGCAACCTACGTACATGTACAATATTAAGTCATAGATTTTCTATAAGTCCCAAACTTACCCTACTTCTAACCTGCCTCAACATCATCCAGCAACCCCTCATCATTAGACAGTGGTTCTGAATGGCTAATTGGGGGCTGTTTATTATTTTAAAACATGGAGATGGAGTAGAGGTCTAGCCAAACATAGGGACGACAGGTAAAGTTTTAGGACTTCCCTTTGCTAGACATGGCTTTCATTCTTTCTGACTCTCTACCCATTCATGGAAAGCTCAAAGGGGAAGGCAGATGCAGAAAGCCCCTCTGTGTCTTCCCTGTCCTTGTGTTATGGGAGATTTGTGTAGGACCAAAAGCCTCCAATCAACCTTGCTGCCTTAGGTGTTTAGCCAGAGGGAGGGTCCACATTCCAGTTCTCATGAAGAATGAACTTCCTGAACAAGGGATGAGCACAAAGGTAGGAAATTTTATTAAGGGAAAGAACGAAAGCTCCCTCGGGAAGGGAGGGGTCCTGAGTGAGTTGCTAGAGAAGTTACCTGGTCTGAGGTTTTTATCCACTTTTCTCCAGGGCATTGCTCAATCTTGGTGGTGTGCAGAAAGCAGCATTCTGGTTGGCTGTGCCTGCAGTGTTCTGATTGATTATGCACTGGTCCTCATACTGTCCTTATTCTGGTCCTTCCTGCTTTTCCTTTTTTACACCCTCTAAAGTCACAGGGAGGTCATAAAGGAGGTTTCCAGGGGTCCTTCCGCCTAGCTGTACCGTCTAATTTCAGCTAACTGCCTATGAGTCTCAAACTTTCCCTAATTTTAGTCTTCCTCAGTCTGAGCTGGGTCTTATGGAACCAGGGTTTTCTTCAGGTGGAGGAAAGAAGTGACCCTGGGGGTAGCAGGGGGCAGGAAGGAGCCTACACAGCAGGGAGAATGAGTTTAGTGGGGCCACTGGGCACAGGGCTCAGAAAGGCACTAACACTAGGGCTGGCCCTGGTCCCCACAGGTACAGCTACTGCCCACAGTGGGACCCCACCACAGGAGTCAGTGCTCCTCCTGCTCTTGCTGTCTCCAACACAGTACATTTCTGGAAACCTTCCTGGCTGTTTCCTTCTCCCACCACCACTTTCTCCTGTTCATTGGAGCTGAGTCCCTCCCTTCTTCACTTTTCCATCCCTGCTTCCTACACATCTATAGGAAAAGAGAAGAGCCAAGACCAGCCAACTGTGAGGGACAGATGACATCAGTCGCAGAGGAGGCTGGGAAGAGATGCGCAGGCAGACCCCCTGTGGGAATCTGTTAGGAGATTCTGGGTGGAACCACTCATAACCTCCTGAGCTGCCATCAGCAAGTGTTGAAAAGCTGCAGGGATACAGTTCACAAAGCAGGGACTTGGTTTAGACCTAACCAAAGCTTGTGAACTTAAATATTTAAAAAGCACGCAGAGCCCTTTGTTGTGCTAACACGTTTAACATTTCTACCAGGTCCAAAGAAATTGTGGTCCCATCCAATTGATGATGGTGTATTTTTCACACCTTTTATACTACACATCCATACCCTCAGTCCCAAATGTGTGCGTGTCTCAGGAGACTTCTCTGTTCATCCCATCAATCATAGTTATCCATTTCTCTACTAGAATGTGTCAGAGCTTCAGATGACTCCCTACTTTAGCTGAACCAAGAGTCTTCAGGATTCTGGCCATAGCTTCAGGAAACACCACTTGAATATTTTAAACACATTCGACCTTGAATAGTTAGCTGCTCACTCCCTAAACACTGCCCAAAGTGTTCTTAGTCCTCTAGACCCAAGCTCTTTCCTAAATCCATGAAAATGTCCATGCTTGCAGGTGCTGGAAGAAGGCCAAGTGCACGACCTCCCAAGAGGAGTCTCTCTGGGACCTCGTGTCTTTGGTGGATGACCAGAAGAGTCTTGCTGGCACCAGTCATTGCTGAATGTCCCCATGTGCTACTCCCAGGTGCTCCAGTATTGTCCACCTTGCCATGGTGTGCTCTGGGAGAAGGCTGCCCTATTGGGCTCAGACACCCAAGCTCATGGAGGGATGCAGGGTGGGACAGAAAAGGGGCTAATTCCCTTAAGTTGTGCCAGGTACTCAGTACTCAGTAGGCCTCCAGTGGACACTTCATTCCCTACTTCAGTCTTGAGAACTATGGAATTTTAGACTTCTTGAAAACCAGTTTAAAAAAAAAAAAAGAGACAGGTTCCTCCTGTGTCTCATGCCTGTAATCCTAGCTACTCCAGAGGCAGAGATCAGGAGGATGGAGTTCGAAGCCAGCCCTGGGCAAATAGTTTGCAAAAACCTATCTCAAAAATAGGCAACACAAGAAAGGGCTGGTGGAATGGCTCAAGGGGTAAGAATGCCTGACTAGCAAGAATGAGGCCCTGAGTTCAAACCTCAGTGCTGCCAAAATAAATTTTTTAAAAAGAAAGAAAGAAAAGGAGATGTTGGTTTTCTGTGAGCAGTGTGTGTGTGTTTCCAGTTGAGAAAATGGCTTAGCTCTTCTTCAGAGCAGTCAACTCCTCCATGCCTTTCCAATATGGCCTATTGGCCACTAGGGGGCCTCAGATTCTAACACGTTGCTGAGGGCTGGGAGACTTGTGGCCTGAGTTCCCACAACTCTTGCCCTGAAAGCAGCAGAGTCTAAGACATCTGCAGTGCATCTGAGACCGTCCTAAACACCAGCCATGCATCATGCGATATTAGAAAGTCAGCCTGCCTCTAACCCAGCATTCCCACAGTATATTTTGCAGAATATGCATGAGTGTGTAAGAGTTCCATGAAAGCTGGGTGCCAGTGGCTCATGCTTGTAAACCTAACTATTTGGGAGGCTGAGATCAGGAAGATCGAAGTTCAAGACCAGCCTGGGCAAATAGTTCATGAAACCTCATCTTCAAATAGTCAGAGTTAAATGGACTGGAAGTGTGGCTCAAGCAGCAGAATGTCTGCTTTGCAAATGGGAAGCCCTGAGTTCAAACCCCAGATCCACCAAAACATTTTTAGAGTTCAATGAGTTAGTCTCACAACATGCTAGGCAGAAAAACTTTTAATCTAACAAAAATGTAAAAAAAAAAAAAATACTACCTATTCTACCCCTCTCTTGGTAGATCTCAATTAGTAGATTAAAGGATTTTGGAGTAGCTATAGGAAAATCTGTATATTTTTGTTAAACTCATCATTTCCAAAACTTATTTGACTACAGAACCTCTTTCTTTGTGAAATATATCCTGTGTGCATTAGTAAAGGAAATGGCTAAGCTGCCATAACAAAGAGAACCAATATGACAGTGACTTAAAAAAGAATGAATGAATGAAAGAAAGAAAAAGAAAGTCAAAACATGTAAAAAATCTTGAATAGGACAAAGTCTTTCTAGGCAAAAACTAAAACTAGATTCTACAATGGAGCAGTATCTTGATAAGTTAGGCTTTGGGAAAGGCAAAAATACATAGGAAAAAAACCACACAAAAAGTCAGAAGAAAATGCATTTTCAAAACATATGGCAAAAGACTCATTTCCTTGAAATATGAAGAGCATTTATAAGTCAATAGCAATAATGATAGAAAAAGAATTCCTACAACATGAACATACACAGAAAAAGAAATTCAAACTCCAATAAATATATAACAGTAGCAAAACAATGTGTCACTATCTCTCATCATACTGTACAACATTTAGAACTTTGATAATACCTAGTGTTAGAGAGGATTTAGGAAAACAGGACTCTCATACACTATTGGGCAAAGTACAAATCATCCCTAGATCTTTGGAAGACTATGTTCAATAGCTATGAAATTTTAAAGTATGTTTATGATATGATCCAATAGTTCCACTTCTAGAAATTTACTTTAAAGTGATACTATACATATGAACAAAAATATGTATGTAGAGGTGTTCACTTTAATATTACTTTTAATAACTTAAAAAACTAAATTCTCCCAAAACTAATGAACCAATAAAGAAATGGGCATGTGAACTAAACAGAACTTTCTCAAAAGAAGAAATTCAAATGGCCAGAAAACACATGAAAAAATGCTCACCATCTCTAGCAATAAAGAAATGCCAAATTAAAACCACACTAAGTTCCACCTCACCCCTAGAATAGCCATCATCAGCAACACCACCAACACAGGTTGGCGAGATGCGGAAAAAGGAACCCTCTTACACTGTTGTGGAATCTAGACTGTACAACCACTCTGGAAAAAAATTTGGAAGCTACTTAAAAAGCTGGACACGATCTACCATTTGATCCAGCAATACCACTCTTGGGATATACCCAAAAGACTGTACTCCAGAGACCTGCACATCCATGTTATTGCGGCACTATTCACAATAGCCAGTTATGGAAACAGCCAAGATGGCCCACACTGATGAATTGGATTAAGAAAATGTGGTATCTATTTACCACAATGAATTTTATGCAGCCATGAAGAAGAACGAAATGTTATCATCGCTGTAAATGGATGAATTGGAGAAACAATTCATTTCTGAGTGGAGGTTAGCCTGGCTCAAAAGACCATAAATCGTATGTTTCTCCCTCATATGTGGACATTAGATCAAGGGCAAAACACAACAAGGGATTGGACTATGAGCACATGATAAAAGCGAGGCACACAAGGAGGGGTGAGGATAGGTAGACACCTACAAAAAAATAGCTAGCATTTGTTGCCCTTAATGCAGAGAAACAAAGGCAGGATACCTTAAAAGCACTGAGGCCAATAGGAAAAGGGGACCAGGAACTAGAGAAAAGTTAGATTAAAAAGAATTAACCTAGAAGGTAACACCCATGCACAGGAAATCCAATTGTGAGTCAAGCCCTGTATAGCTATCCTTATCTCAACCAGCAAAACCCCTTGTTCCTTCCTATTATTGCTTATACTCTCTCTACAACAAAATTAGAGATAAGGGCAAAATAGTTTCTGCTGGGTATTGAGAGGGGAGCGGGAGGGGGTGGAGTGGGTGGTAAGGGAGGGGGTGGGGGCAGGGGGGAGAAATAAACCAAGCCTTGTATGCACATATGAATAATAAAAGTAAAATGAAAAAAAAAAAAAAAAAGAAAAACATGTAGTGGGAGGACAACCTACATATCTATGGTAGCATCAAAATTTATTCGCAAACTGATATTCACTCCTCTCTTCAAAAAATGGAGTCAAATTACCAGCCCAGTACAATGACTAGCAAATAGAACATGGAAAAATGATAGAAATAGACCTTCATGACTGAGTTATAAAAAGACATTTTGGCTTCCTCCTTGTTCTCTCTCCTGGATTGCTGTGGAGGAAGCTAGCTACCATGTTGAGAGGACACTCAACATGTCCTCTCATGTTGAGTGTCCATGACAGGCCTATGGGATCGAAACCTCCAGGTAACAGCCATGTGAATGAGCCCTGTTTAAGGAAAGACAGACGTCTAGATAGGAGAGAAATTTGCATCCACTTGCAGGCTTTTCTCAAAAGACCTCCTCACTGGCACTTACAAAAAGATTAGCAAAAGTCCCCCAAACCAACCTTCCTGACACAGACCTGGGGTTGGGGAATACCAGTTGCTAAAACTTTGTACAGATCCTATTGCCCCATTTCTCCTACAGAGGAAAAGCCTTGACAACAAGACCTGACAGCCTTAAGAGACTGATAAAGCCACCATAGTGGGGAAAGGGAATGGAAAAACAAACAAAGCCCTCTGATCCTTGGGGAGGGGCAGGAATATGTTCTGGGACCAGAATTACTGCTGGGGGGTGTACAGAAGCAGTTTGAAAATCAGACCCTCCAAGTCCCAGGGATTGTATCTGCATGATGGAGATGAGACAGCAGAGCACCTCATCTCTCAGCCCCCTACCTCCAGGCTAAGGGGCAACGAATGACTGGTCAACCAGAGCCATGGGATACTGCAGGGGGCGGGGCGGGAGGAGCTACCAGTGATGGAAAGAGAACTGACACATCAGAGAAGACCTAAGATCAAGGGGGGCAGACTTAGAAAACCATTGGGTAAACAAGTGCATGCCCCTCACACATGCATGCTGTACTTAGGGTAACCACAGCAACAACAAATCCAAGGACCGACACAAAGGAATGAAGACGGCAAGAAATGGCAACCATATGAGTATCTAGAAGAGCTTTTTTTCTATGTGCATGCATAAAAATGTCACAATGGAACCCATTTGGTACAGTACACACTTATTTTAAAGAGTTTTCCCCTTTTTATATCTTTTTAAAAGATAATGGAATTTAAATTTAAAAACAATGAAAATATATTGTGGAATTTCTAATTTGTGACCAATTAAAATGTATGGCAACAACAGAACATACAAAGCATGCTGCTGTACGTTTCTTGGATGTGCAGTGGTAGACTATCACTTGAAGGTGCACCGTGATGCTGAAACTGGAATTGTGAGCCCCAGGCCCAAACTTCCGGGCTTCCATATGTCAGGTTCTGCCACTTGCCCTATATACCAAACAAAGAGACACGGTGAAGGGCAGAGAAAGGAGGTTTATTACAAGCCCAGGACACAGTGTGGGAAGAGGCAGAGTAAGCACTCCGCCCATCTTCAGCCATCTTCAGAGTACAGAGGTGAGCTTTAGCTTTAAGTAGACAAAGAATTAGGGCAGCGGGGGCAAAAGGTCTACACAATCACAGGTGTGACCTGGTTGGTCATTTTCTCAGTCCTTGTTTTTCTGCTGGGTTCTGGAGAAGTTGTTATCCAAGACTCATTGGAGGCTCTACTATTCCTCACGGGTACTTTTTGTCCCTTGTCATAAAGATGTTATCAGTTCTGTCCTTCCTGGAACCCAAGGTGATTGCAAAGTGACTGTGGAGGCTCTGGCTTAGAGCAGAGACAAATACAAAATGAAGACAGGGATGCTAAGCTTTTCTCCTGCTTTTAGTTAATTCCTGGGCCCAAGTAAGAAGTTAGTGCTTCTCACAAAAGCAGTTTAACACCTCTTCCACTATCTTAAAAATATATACTACAAATGCTAAAGCAAGCACTAAAGTAACATGTCTGAGTTATAACTAATAAGCCAACAAATGAGATAAAATAGAATTTTAAAAAAATACAACCCAAAAGTTGGTAAAGAGGAGAAATGAAACCAGGAACAGATAGAAAAAGTAGAAAAATGATGACTAGCTCTTAGATACAAACATAACCATATCAATAATTACATGGTCTAAACACCTCAATTAAAAGAAAATGATTGTCAAATTGAATATTTTTTTAAAAACATGGTGTACAGAAACCTACTTTAAGTATAAAGATATAAATAGATTAAAAGCAGAGATGGACAGAAATATGCCATGCTAATATTAATCAAAAGAAAGCCAGAATGACTATGCTAACATAAAACAAACTTGAGTCTCAGAATAAAAAAAAAACAAAAATCATAGTCATTTCCAAATGACAATGTGGTCAATCCAACAAGAAGACACACCAGTGCTAAATGTTTATGCATCAACAGCAGAACTGCAGAATACACAAAGCAAAAACAGAACTGTAAAGAAAAATAAACAAATCCACAATGACAGCCAACCATTTCCATTCCTCTCATGCAAGAACTGATGAAATGTGTAGAAAGAAACCCCAGTAAGAATACAGAATACTTAAATAACACCATCAACCAATTTAATTGAATTAACTGAAAACATTGAATCCAACAATAGAATACACATATTCTTCTCAAATGCTCACAGAATGTTTACCAAGACAGCCTGTCACTACAGGCTGAATTATGTCATCCTCTCCACTACCAGATTCACGCGGAGAGGCTTTAACCTCAGGTGCCTCCATATGTGGCCATATTTTGAGACAGGGACTGTAAGAGGGAAAACGAGGTCATGAGGGTGGGCACTAGTCCAATACGACTGATGCCCTTGCAAGAAGAGGAGACAGAACACAGGCGCACACAGAGGGATGACCATGTGAAGACAAAGAGGATGACTGCCATCTGCTAGCCAAGAGGAGAGGACTTGAAGGAACCAGCCCTGCTGACTTTTGGTCTCAGACTTGTGGCCGCCCAAGCTGTGAGAAGGTAAATTTCTGTTGTCTAAGGTCCCCAGCCTACAGCACAGTTTTGCAATGGTCCTAGTCAACTAAGACAGCCATAGTCTTGGTAAGAAAACAAGTTTTAATGAATTTATGAGATTTAAGTCCTATAATTTTTCCAAAAAAGTTAAATTAGAAGTCAATAAAAAAAAGATATTTGAAAAATTCCTATATAGTTAAAAATGAAATAACACTATTTAAAGTGACCTAGAATCAAGGACATTAAAAGAAAAATTAAGAAGTATTTCTAACTAAGTAAAGCTGAAAAGATAAAAATCTGTGGGATCCAGGTAAAGTAGTAGCTAGAGGGGAAATGATAGCACTTAATATGTTTATTAGAGAAGAAGAGGGTCTTGCACTAATGGCTTCAACTTCTATCTTCCTCCACTATTATAAGAAGAGCAAATAAGATACAAGGACAAGAAAGAAGACAGTAAAAATCAAATGGAAATCAATTTAAACAGAAAACAGGAGAAAATAAAGAAACTCCATGGAACCAAATTTTGGTTCTTTGAGAAATTAATAAAATTGATAAATCTCAAGCCAGGCTGATCAGGGAAAAAAGAGAAAATATAAACAATCAAATTAGCAATGAAAGAGGGGACATCACTAGATATGCTACAGATATTGTAAGACTAATAAGGAAATATGGTAAACAGCTTTCTGCTAATTAGTTCAGCAACTTAGTTGAAAGAAAAAATCCTTGAATATCATAAACCACTGAAATACTGCAATATAAAAGGAAATACAGATTTGGTTTCTATCCCCAGTTCCTAAGACAGAGCTCCTAAAACCTTTGTAGATAGGGGTGCTAGAAGGATCCTCTGTTCTAGTATTTGGTCTTTGACCTCAGTTCCTGACACAGACCTCCTAAGATTTTTTATTGGTCTCTTATAAGAAAGAGCAGTTTTCAGGATTTGAAAGATATTTTCGCAGGTCCTTCAAATCCAGCAAGTGTTTTGCTGGTTAATGGGTGGTGTGGAAAATCTAGAGCCTGGTTTCAGCTCCTTCTGAAACATCCAACTGTGTCATCTCTCCTTTAGTCAAAGGCAGGGACCATGAGAAACAGCTTCAGGCCTCTGACTTTCTAAGAACCTGCTCAGGAGATGGGTTTCAGTCAAGGATGTCAATGGATGAGACTTCTCCCCTCAAAGCCACCCACCCAAGCCTTGACAAGTGTCAGGTCAACCCCTGCTGTCAAATTGCTACTTCCTAGGTGCTCCTAGGTTAAGGTAGGATGCCTCTGTTGGGCCTTTTCAGCCTCCCAATGTGGCACCACCTTGGCCTTTCATATATTCCCCATTGCTACCCAGAATCCTCCAGCCAAGCCTGTCACCACTGCTGAGACCAGCAGAACTGACACAGGCATCAGAGCCACACAGGATAAGATTGACATCTTAGCCTGTTGTGTGATACCAGGTGGCTGGCTCTGTTTATACATCAGTAAGACAGGGATTTAAATTTTTTACCTTGTAGAGTTTCCATATTCCTTACACAGTATCAGGCACAAAGTCACCACTGACTATTCCATTCCTACCTAGTGTGGCTCTAGGGAGCCAGCATTGAATCAGTCACTCTGTGGCTACTGTATGTTAATACTGTATGTTCTCGACAGGGTCACAAGCAACATGATGGCAGATATGTACCCCAGTCCTGATCACCTCTTCAGCAGTAGAACAGCACAGTGCTTACCAGCCTAGATTTTCAATCCCGGATTCATAGTCCAGAGTCTTCATTTAGTACCCTAAGTGACTCTGGGCAAGTCACTTGACTTTTCTGTGGTCAGTTTCCCCACCTGCTAAATGGAACAGCAATAATAGCAACGGTGCCCACACAGAGTGGCTGTGGGGTTCAAATGGAATACGAGCGCCTAGTGTCTACCTAATTATTGTCTGTTGGATGGATTGACTCAAAGAGCAGAGAGTAGGGAATTGCTGAAATCGGGTTGATTGGCACAAGGAACCCTTGCCTTCTACCATAAAAATTGCATTTTGAAACACACTGCAAGCTTTGGTGGTAATTGATGATTTAAGTGTTTGGAGCAACATAGTAAGATAAAATAGTGTAGCCAAAGCTGTTTTTCAGAAAATGATTTGAGACGAGGCTGAAAGCCTCAAATCCAGTCGTCAGGAAAGTGTCTTAACATTTTGAGTGAATGTGTATTCCTCACTCAAACTCACAGCCCAAGGTAGACCATCAATCTACGTCTAATTAATAGAAAGGGAGAGAAGACAGGAAAAGGTTGCCTTTCAAAGAGATTGAGTATTTTCTGTGTCCCGGGAACTTTTGGTTTGTAAAGTCACCTGGGAGATGGCACTGCTAGCCATCTCATACAGCAAAAACTAAAAGCAACTGAACAAAGAAAAACAACCAAAGATCAGAGTTTGCCCAGTGTCATTCCATTGGCTAGTTGGCAGAGTCAGGTTCAAACCCAGATCTCTCCCACTCCCAAGTTCGTGCTCCTTCTGCTTCCCATAGTCCAAGATCCCAAAGTGAGGCCCCATGGGCATTATATGCTCTGCCTCAGACACACAGAGATAGGGAACGCCCCCCACCCCCTTCAACCCTTCACCTAGGGACTGGCTTTCTCTTAGCTGACAAGGGTCTCTGGGATTACAGAAATGTACCCAAGCTATTAGAGAAAGAGGAGAGCCAATTTAGGAAAGAAGGTGCAGCACAGACCCCCACCACCTTGTCTGGGGAAATGATTCCCATGCCTTTCACCTTGCCTGGCCCCCACCCAAATCCCCGCCCCTCACCGACATGACAGGCGGAGGCACAAAGGGCCACTTGTTGTGGTTTCCCTCCCTGCGCCACACACCACTTGGGCGGGCCATCAGCTACTTCTCATACCCTAAGTGACTTCGGTGTCTGGACTGCGAGTGGATCAGGGGCAAGAAGCTTGATCTTATTAGGTGTTCCAGGGACCTGTCCTGGAATTAGCTCTGTGCACGCAGCTCACAAGTCCCAGCTGTGCCCAGCCGAGCAGAGCAGCGGAGCCACCCTTGGCCACAGGTCACCCTCACTTACCAGTCATGCTCTGGCAGCTCTCTTCAGCGGTGGTGCTCTTTATGTCGCTGGCTGGTGAGTGACACACACCACTTTGTCTGGTGGCCCTGCCATATCTGGTTCTTTTAAATCTAAGTGCATTCTGATGCACCTGTCCAAGGCAAGGCAGGACAGACGGTAGATGTGGCTTCTGGACTGCAAGTGTTTAATTAAGAACTTCTCCATCCTGTTGCCTTATGCGGGTGGTACATCCTTCTAAGGGCTTTCATGGTTTGGACTTGTTTCCTGTGAGTTAGGCAGAGTAGGTGTCAGCCCCAGAAGACAGTGACACTGTCCGTGCTGCCCACATCAGTTCTGGGCACCCCTACCAGGGTGAGTTTATAGAAATTAATTTAATTTAGGAGATAGGAAACTGAGCCAGGGCTCAGACACAGGGCTCTCAGTTTGTTATCAGGGCAAAGCAGGCATATCTTTCTTTCCTGGCTCTCTTAGTTGCAAGTGCTATGTTTATAATATGTGAACAGGGAACCCTGAAGGCGCATCATTCCCAAAGGGTGTAAACCAGGATATCAAAGATTTTTTTTTTTAAATGCCATTGTATTATAGCTCAGACAGCTGTGTGGGAAGCTGAGCCTAGAATGATTATAGGCTGTGCTGAGGACTTGGAAATCTCTCCCTGCTGTTGTTCTCCTTCTGTCGGCAATTTCAAGGTTAATTCCCAATTCTGTCTAGAATCACTGAATTGAGCATGTCAGAGGACTAGCTCTGTGCACACTGCCCAGCACGAGGTGCTCCAGTTGGGGACTTGCTGGCCCTTGGTGTGGTATGAATGTTAGGAAGGCTATGAAAGCTGTGCCCCCCACTTCAGGCTGTTTTTCTTTGTGCTGTGCTTTCAGAAGTACAATTTCATGTTCTTTGGGGTTCAGAAGTCACCTGAGCTGGGGGAATAGCTCAGTGGTAGAGCAGTTGCCTAGTATATACAAGGTCCTGGGGGCCATCATCAGTACTCCAGGAGAAACAGAAGGAAAAAAAGAACAAGAAGTCATTATTACAAGCTAATAAAAAAGCAATGGGGCCGCCGTGTCCTGCCTGTGATTACCAATCATACAGCCGACAGAGACTGGCAGGATCAGGAGCACAGTGAGTCTCGACAAGTATAAGGGCAAGTGGAGAGGAAATGCCACCTTACCCTTTCCTCTCTGTGCTGCAATTTGGGGTGCAGGGAGTGAAGGAAGTAGGGGATTCTTCTTCAGTGGAGCTATACTGTGGCCAGGTCTGTGCTGCCTAGTGTCTGAAGGGCCATGCACAGCTGGATTCCAACTTTGCTCTGACCCCTTCCTGCAGCGAGGCCTTGTTCACATCGCCTGCTTTTTCAGATGCCCAGTTTCCCCACTGAAAATGGGGGAAATAGTCCTCTCCCAGAGGTGCCAGGGAGACAAAATGAGATAGACAAAATGAAAACAATTATTACAGTGTTTTTGCTTGGTAGGTCAATCCCACTTTTCGTATTTTTCTCTTGGGTCCCCTCCCTATCACCTTTGCAATCTCCTGCACTCAGCACAGGCTCACCAGCACATAGTATGACCACATTTACTGGTATGTTCTGTGTACCTGGCACTGTTCCAGCCTCTTTTGTCCATCGTGACATTCTTGTGATGGATGACATCTCCTCTTACTTAGGAGAAAATAGAGGCACAGAGGTTATGTAACTTGACCATAGTCACACAGCTGGTAAGTGACAGAGCTGAGCTATGAACTAGAGTCTGTGTCCATAGCAGCTAAGCCGTGTGTTCCATGAGGACATCTACTGTCTATATTAACTCATGTGGGAGAGAACTCTGAGCAGTAGGTGCTAACCTTATATTCTGAGGCAGAGGCAGGCCAGGGAGCTGCTCATCGTCCTCCAGTTAGCAGTGGCAGCCCTGAGGCTGGTGTCCAAGAAGCCTGGCCTTGGAGCTCATGCTGTGCCCTACTGACTACACAACCCAGCATGCCCAGGCTCAGAAAATTCTTGTTGAATTGGAGATGAGCAAAATCCATTAGCCATTTTGCTAGGAGGGACATGGCTCCTAAGTAGACTTCAGGAGTAATCTTTATCCAGGCCTTTTGTTTCCCTGGTCTCAAATTTCGGCTCCAGTTTATACAAGTTAGTTTAGGTTCAGCTGCACAAATTCAACAAGCCCCAGTGACAGTGAATTAAACTGTTGTTACTCTCTCATGTGAAAACAAGTCCAGAGGAATTCAGACCTGTTCTAGTGGAAGGGCTCAGTCTCTGAAGACACAGCAATCCCATGTGTGATTTCCACCTGCAAGGTCTCCTCATGGTTCTGGATGTCTGTTAGTGCCCCAGCCATCACATACAAGTTGCTGGCTAGTTAAAGAAGAGAAAACAGAAGCATGATAAAGAAGCAGGTCACCTAGCTAATTGAGGTCCCTTCCACCAGCCTTTCCAGAAGCCCCACATGACGCTATCACTCCTACTGCTATGGCTAAAAACCCACACATTCCCACCCAGCTAAAAGGGACAGTTGGATGAAGGGTTCCTTATTCCAGGCAAAAAGTGTTCAACTGAAACTCAGGCATCTGTTACTAAGGATAAAGGGAGACTAGTTTGGGGGGCATTCAGCCTGCAATCTCTTCCACAAGGACAAGCCCCTCCTGCTCTAGGGGACCCTTTGACCCTCTCTGCTGCACCTACTGGGGCAGCCTAGGACGTGCCAGGCAAGGTGCTCAGAGGCTAAAATCTGGTGTCCCTAGGCAAGGTGGCTCCAGTTACCCCCTGAGTATGCTCTTCATAGGCCTGAAAACAAGGTGCATTCTCCAAGGCCTGCCAACAGGGCTCCCTGCTGCCCTTCCCCTTCCCTCACCCCCACCCCAATCTTGTGGTCCCCCCTATGCTGACCCACGTTCTCAAACATATAAGGCTTCTGAAGCCTCCAGGTCTTTGCACTTGCTCCTCCTGTTGTCGGGAATGCTATCCACTCTCTTGTCTACCCTAAGAATTTCTCTGTGTGTTGGATGCCCCACCTCATACTCACAGGACACACTGGGGCTATTTCTATAATAACCTTGTCACACTGAGGAGTATGGACTACCTCTGTGTCTGCCTCATAAGCCTTTGAGCCCCCAAGAACAAAGACCTTCCCACAGGGCCTCAAAAGTCCTCCACACACCTGATGAACTGGGTTTGGCAGGAAACTATCCAAAGGCTATCTGGGAAGGAACTATCTGGGGAAAAACCTAGAGAAGAGAAGAGGTCATCAGGAAGCCTGTGTGGTCACTGACTTTCCCAGGGATTAGGCAGTGACTCAATCTCAGCTTCTCCTGCTGGTTGTAGGGAAACCAAAACACCTCTTTCTACCCATAGCCACATAGAAGGATGAGAGCAACAGGTTGGAGCCTGGGGTACTTATAACTGAGTCTCCTGAGTCCTAGACAATGCATGGGGATTGACCAATTACTGTGTAAACTCCAGTGTTAGGTTCTTTAGAAAAGAGGAAAAGTCAAGACAAATTCTGAGCTATGCCCTGCCCTCCTTCTGCCTCCCACCCTTTCTGTGGGTCTCAGACAGACCCAGTGATCTTGACCTTTACAAAATCTCTGGAAGCCAAAAGTCCTGTTTAAAAACTGCCCAGTTTTGACAGAGGTTGGAGGCAAGGGTGATCATATACACAGATTTTGTAAAACAGGGCCTTGTGTCCCAGATTCACTGAGTTCTCACAAATGTATGAACTTTCTGGGATGCATTATAACACATGACAAATCTACCCCTTATTAATCACCTGCTCATCATTTATACCTCACACTTCTACAGGAGAAGAGGGAGAGGGAGGGTCAGAGAGGAGCAGAGAAGGTGGGGATCAAACTATATTCCCTAAAGCGGTTCAATCTGTAACACACCTGTGAACTTGACATTTTTGGTTCAGTCACCTGCCTGCCCAGCCTTCTGCTCATTACTGCGTTAAACAACTTTCCATCTCTATAACAAATGCCTGAAATGACAACTTATAGAGAGAAAAGGTTTGGGCTGAGAGTATAGCTCAAGTGGCAGAGTGCTTGCTTGCCTATTGTGCACAAGGCCTTGGATTCAAGCTCCAGCACTACAAAATAAATGAAAATAAATAAATATAAAAGTAAGGAGAAAAGGTTTATTGGCTCACAGTTGCAGAAGTTTTAGTTCATGCTTGGTTTCCCTTGTTGCTTGGAGCCTACGGTGAGGCAATGCATCAGGGTGAAAGTGAGTGGTTGAGTAAAACTATTCACCCTCAGGGCTAGACAGTAAAAGAGAGAAAAAGACACAAGGTCCACTAAGGACACTCCCCAGTGACCTGAAGGTCTTCCACTAGGCCTCACCTCCTAAAATTTCTACCACTTCCCAATAGCACCAAGCCGGAGACCAAGCCTTTAATACATGGATCTTTGGAGGACACACCAGATCCAAACTAGAGCAACTACTCCTATTTCTCATCCCAGAGACACACCTACACACCAAATCAAGACACCATGACTACCATCACCTCCAGCCCCCTCACCAAGATTTTCTACACCAAGCACACTTTGGAAGTCTTCTTGCCCTATTTGGCATACTGTTCATTTGTAGAAGACTAAGTACTTATTTCTTCTTTGAATTCATTTATCACTTCTGAAAGAGGAATTCTATCTTGAGGAAGACTCTCTTTTTTTAAAGTTCATGCTACTCAATTTAGGAGATTCTACTCAGCTGAGATTTTTCTTTAGTTTATAAACACTGGCCATACCCAGGAGGAATTTAGGAAGGATACAATGATCTTCCAGAAAGAACAAGCAAGTGATTTCCAGTCTCTGGGGGTTCTCTGTAGCAACTGTTGGCTTTTCTTTCCAAGACATTCTTGGAAACCACTTCTGGGAATGAATTTTCTTTCTCCGTAGAGATAGTATAGACCTATTAGGGTTCTTGTTGAGTTCTTGACCAAGAAACCATTAACTCAGGTTTAGCCCATATGAGGTATGAAAATAAACCTTCAACAGCTGTCCTCTGTTACAATCTTGGTGAAGTCTTTCTTGAAGGCCTACATCACAAACACAAAGATCCCACGGGTAGGAATTTTATGAAAGTTTATGAAGTCAACCTACAGATGTAAACTCTACAACTTTTGAGATCATGCATTTAATTTTACAATTAAATATTTTAGATATGAAAAAGACTCACATAATTATGAATGCCACTAGTAACAATTTTTTTTTTAAATGGGATCCAGTGCAATTTAAACTACTGTTTTCTGTTTTTGTCTTTTCCATTTTGGAAGCCAACTGTGCAGAAATAATTCACAGGTCTTACTACTGAGCCTAAGATCAGAACTTTTCTTCTGGAAACTAGTCATCATTTTAGCACATGAATTGTTTTTTGGTGGTACTGAAATTTGAACTCATCCTTGCTAGGCAGGCACTCTACTCCTTGAGTCACTCCTCCTCTAGCCTTTTTTTTTTTTTTTTTTTGTGCTGGTATTTTTGATACAGAGCCTCGCAAGCTATTTGCCCATACTGACTTCCAACCATGATCCTCCTGATCTTTCCCTCCTGAGTAGTTAGGATTACAGGTGTGAGCCACCAGCAGCTGGCTAGCATGTGAACTTTTGAAGGCCTCATTGAAGACCACAATTATGAGGGTTCAGCAAACTGGTGCCACTGGAGGCCACCCTGCTAGTTCTCTCTCTTCTGCCTTTATCTCTTCTCTCGCCATTCTTCCCAAGGACACAGTCTACACCCACTCTTCCCCAAATCCAAGAATGGGTTCAATTCTTATTTACAGGAACTCAAGTCTCAACTTCAACATTGACCAGTTGTATAATTATGCTCAACTTGATGGAACTTTCTGGCCTGAGTTTCCTCATTTGAAAGATGTTAAAAATAGTTACCATCAGAGGGTTTTTGAGAGGGTGGTTAAAAAAAAAATATCCTTGACCTCAGGCTTCCTTGTTTTAAGTGTCCAGTAACTTGGGGCTTTTTGTTGTTAAAATGGCAAAAGTAACCACTTGGTAATGTATTGAAGGGAAGAGGGAGGCCAAAAGGTGTTTATGGATTATTTTCATTAGATATGAGCCTCAGGCCCTTATAAATACCAGCATAGAGCCATCTCCTTTCCCTCCTTGCATGTTTTCCCAAGTCTCAATCTACAACATGACAATGACAGCTCCCATGAGTGTCTGAGTAAATGAAACCACAGAGCTGAAGGGACAGAGCTGTCTCCTTGTGTTCCTGATCATCAGTTCCCAGGGCCATCATCTACATTTTGTCACTTTTTTAATGCTATGTGACTGGAAGGAGGCAAGCATAGAACCACTCGGGCCAAAAGACAGCCAATTGTCTTCCACCCTTAAGGGACATCCTGGGAGAGAAACTGTTCCAACAGTAGACATTGTGTGTGCTCAATGGTCCTAAACGTTTTCAGGAAGCCAACTCGTCGGAGACTGATAATAAGCCCAGAAGGTCGACAAGGTGAATGTTAACATTTTACCCACTCAGTTATTCATTCATCCAGCTCACATTTACTAAACACTTTCTATGAACAGGAGCTGGTGGTAAAAACTAGATACACAGTTCCCACCTTTAGGTGGCATTTAATCTTGTGAAATAGATGCACACCAACAAATAAACCAATAAGTAAGGACTTCTTCAAGGCTGAAATTCTGCTGGCACCCACCGGCCAGGATGATCATTAAATATTCATTACCATCTTCATATGTAAGTACAAGATGTGATTAGTGAATGAAAGCACCAATCGCAACCCTCAGATGGGGAATCACGACGGTGGGGACTTATATAAGGAGGACAGGGAAGACTCTGAGGAGCTGATAAGTAAGGTTTTGGGTTCTATTGAAGAATCGGAACAATTGCACTTTAATTTTCTTTCTTGGGTGAGAAAGACTGGGCTGCACAAAAGGTTAAGGAAATGACAGGAATTGGTCTATATTTAGAAAGATAGTAGGTGGCAAGATAAAAAATGGAAGGGACTATATTGTGAGGAAATGAGTCTCCCATCATTGGGGTCAATTAAACATAGATTGGATGAACACGTGTGTCCTAGGTCCAATTCATGCATCGGATTAGGGTTTAGACCTAATCATCCTTAAGACCCTTTCAAGCCTGGAATTATGTGCTTCTATGAAAACTTTTATAAAACTGAAGATCTTTAATTCACCTTCAGCTCTATGACATCATCACAGCAGCTGTTCACTAGGAGCGCTGTTTTATGTCAACTGTGTGGTTTCACACTTGAAGTTGGGAAACGGAGAGGCGTTAACATTAGGTATCTAGCTGAGGATGATCACTTCGGTGTGCATTGGTACCACACCCCAGGCAGAGCAGCTTCGTGCAGAAGAGTGTCTATAGTATGGTCATAACTGTGTGAAAAACCTGCATGCAAGCAAAGACATTACAGTTGTCTGGTAGTAGACTCTTTGGTGGCTTTTATTTCACTGTTACAGCCTTATAAATTTCCCCCAAAACTAAAACTGAGCATGTGATCGTTTTTTTATGAACTAAAACAAGAATAGGTGAAGAACTTAGTAACTGGTTAGTATCTAACACTTTTGTTTCCTAATTTGCAGTAATTTTGCATGATGGCCATCAAATAAGAGCCAAAGCAATTCCAGAAACAAGAGACTGCCTTCAACCCATCATAGCAGCAACAGGACAGGCCACAGCAAAATCTGTTTTGCAGCCAACTAATGAAGCTCCTCAAAGGACTTCAGCAGCAAGATCCATAGATGGCCACATCACTTCTCTAATAGCTAGCGAAACTTCCAACTCTGAGATCCCAACACACACAACAATAAAAACTCCAACCACTATGTCAGTAACTACAGAGAGCCCTCCACCCACCAGCCCAATTATCTATACCCTGGTCACATCCAACAACTCACACACCACTCCAATTACTGACACCACCATTGGCCCTGGCTCAACTCCATATTCCCAGCAACTCATCACCTCACTAGCCCCTACAACTGGAACTAGTTCATCCACTGTCAGCCACACAACTGGGAAAACCCCCGGACACAGTAGCCAGACTACCCTCCCTAAAACTTTGTCTGCAGCAACGCTCAAAAGCACCACCCATCAGAAGCCTACTCCACCCACCCATGCCCAAGGAACACCAACAGCCATACACAATGCCACGCAAACAGCCTCACCTGCCTCCACAGTTCCTGGGCCCACCCTTGCACCTCAGCCATCGTCAGTCAAGATCGGAACTTACCGAGTTCTAAATGGAAGCAGGCTTTGTATAAAAGCAGAGATGGGGATAGAGCTGATTGTTCAAGAAGAGTTGGTAAGTTCCAAGAGTTTAAATGAAGTTTGACCTTGCTAGGAATGAGTGTTCTCCCTGTAAACTGTGAGCTCACCTTTCTCCAAGGTGTTCCATTACAAGGTCAATGTGTTTTAGAGGACTTATAAAAAATAGACAGTCAGGCACACAATAAAATTTTCAGCCTGCACACCCTGCATTCTAGCCAGGATAGGCAGAGTGTTTGGGAGGTCCCTGCCCCTCTGTGCAACTTCCCAGCATCAGCTCCCTTCCTGTGAAATGAGAACTTGGAATTTAATGGTCTCCATGGTTCCACCCTGCTGTGATATTAACCTGACAATCCAGATTAACAAACATCTCAGGGAGAGGGGTTATAAGTATTTGATTTTTAAAGGAATCACCATAAAATAATAGGTTCCTTTGTTAGACATTTTTTGTGATTACAAAGAAAACTTCCACATCCAGGCTTTTATTGAGACAGAAGTACCTCCATAGGTAAATACTGCCCCGCAGCACCTTTCAGCATGTTTAACTGAATAAAAGTTAAATTCCATGCAGCACATCAGGGAACGTACCTGCCACAAGTTACCCATTAGGGAGCTCCTCCCATGGGGAATTCCTTCTAGAAGCCAGTTTTTGACTATGAGTTTGGAACTGAGAGGGCGTCATCCATCTGGGAGCTCTACATTTCTCAAGTTAACATCCATTTCGCCTACTTACTAGTCTGTGCTTCTGCGTCCCTGCTTGAATTTGCTTCTACCTCTCATTAAACTGATCTGCCTTATTTGGTTTAGGTTTTCTCACCTCCAAGATACTTCAACATCAACCCCAATGTAACCCATGCCTCTGGGAAATGTGGTTCCCGAAAATCCAACCTTCTCTTGAGTTTCCAAGGCGGATGTGTGAATCTGACATTTACCAAGGTGAGGCAAGAGCTCCTTTACACTGGTTGACTCTGGCTTCGCTTGGCCTCTTCCCTACCCAGAGGGGAGGTGGGGTGGGGGTGGGGGTGGTGTAATGCTGTACTTCACTTTAAGGTCCTGAAGAAACAATCTTAGTCTCTTGAGATCTTCGCTGATAAGAACAAAAAGCGTGGTGATGGAGAGGGGAAGTGTCGACATCTTGTTTGCCTTCTTCCTCCTTCATCCTTTTCTTTGCAGTCCCAGAAGGGTTTCAGTGTCTCTCAAGGAATGATTGGCTTTTGGAGATCCCAGTCACCAGTGCCCTTTGCAAACCACTGAAGGAGGAAGTTGTACAGAATGAAAAGATTTATAGAAATTCCCAGTGGACACCAGTTAAACAGGATTTTTCTAAAAATCAAATGTCAGAATGGGTTCTTTCCAACCCCAGAAGGTAAAATTCAGGAACTAACTAGGTTCTGGATTTTCCAGACCACAACCTGGAAGTGGGTAGACAACAAAGTAGAGTAGAAAGGTCATGGGTGTTGAGATCAGAGTTGGCTACAAATTTTACTCAATCACTGGCTCTTCTTGTGAACAGTGCCAAACAGTGGTTTGGCATGTGAACCTCCCTGAGTTTGTTTTATCACCTGAAGAATGGGGGAAAGGGTCATCTCGTAAGGAGCATGCCCAAAATACAGAAGATGGTAGATGATTGATAGCCAGCAGCTGTAACTTCAGTGACTAAAATAGGCAAATGTCTTGGGGACCAGAAGAGCCTGGTCATCCCCCTCTCCAGGCAGAGACTTGCCCCTACTGCTTGCAAGAGAGGACCCTTCCAGCTGGCACCATTTGCATGATCTCAAGCTCCTTGGAGCCTGTGTCATCATCTGCAAATGGAAATAATTATCTACCTAGTAAGGACTCTTAGGAGGATTAGAAGCATGTATGCAAACTGTCTAGCATAGTGCTTGGTATATAACAATTGTCAAAGGACAAAATTATAAGATGTTTAGAGACCTTAATAGGCTCTTACTTGTGATTCTAGATTGGCCCACACCTCATTCTTTATGATAGAATGACTGTGCAGATGAGCTGAGCAGAGGAGGTTGGCTTTGTAGACAGACAAGGGTGAGGAAAGCAGAAACAATAATAAGTGGATCTGACATCTCAAAGTTACCTTCCTTGTAAGGGTGAAAGCAGAGGGGAATGACTATCTTATCATGTGGCTAAAAGTGGCTTATCTCTCTCTCCTGATTTCTGGGTAGGTCAGATAAGCACCCTAGCTTTGGCTTGGTGGCATAGAACTTCAGCTTGAATGACTTCTTTTGGGTCTAATTCATCTGTTGGGCCTAATTCAAGAGCTCAGTTCAAACCAGTGGCCTCCTGATCCATTTTATTCAAACACCCTCAGTCTGATGAACAAAGTGTGGTGGGTATTATTGGTGGGGTGCATATTTTTCTCTCTAAGGTAGACACACTGAAGAAGCCACAGGAGTCCTTTCAGGGCCAGAGGGAAAGGCAAAATCCCTCACTCCCGAAGCCATTTGGGGCACAACATAATAAGGGCTCTATCCCCAGACAAGTGAAATTAGACTATAGAAGGGTCAGGAATTTCTTTTAAAAAATCACTTTGAAAAATATGGCAAAGGGTACAGACAAAGCATCTCTGCTTTAGTTCAGGGCTCACTTCCCCCCTGGGTCCCTGCCCAGACCACCATGTGAGAAGAGCCTATGGGAAGCATCAGAAACCACCACAACTGCTGCTGCCACCAGGCCAGAGGCAGAACTGCAAACTGCACTTTCTTTGGCTGCCTTCCAACCTCTCTTTTTGTTTTGTTCCACTCTCCTAAGGCTTGATGCTGTCTGCCAATGCTCAACCTGCCTTCCTGATGCCTTCAGACTAGACTCTGTTTGCCCAAACTCCAACTAAGTGTTGAATCCCTGCCTTTCTGAAAAATCCTTTGTGCTCCCAATTTCTGCCCCCTCCAGAGGCCTGGGCAGGAAATGAGGGTCCACATGGAGTGAAGGCCTTCTCTTCCTCCCTGCCCCCTTCCACTTTCCCAAAGTCACTCTCCATCCAGGCCCCAAGCTTTGCCCTGGCTGCTTTGTGGGCATCTTACCAGTCAACACACCTTTTTCACTCCATTCCCACCAAAAATTCCCCAGGAGTCCAGCACAGAGGGAAGCAAAGAGATTCTGAGGAGGTCAAAATCCCCATCAGACTTCATCCTTCTTGGGGGTCTTTCAGCATTTCAGAGAACTTGCTTAAGCCAAATAGGGGCTGTAGAGTCAAGAATTACAAGAGCTAAGCATGTAACTTAATGAGTGATGCAGGCTAGTCAGAACATTTTTTTCTTTGAAATAAGTAATATGTATGTACTTATGTATGCATGTATGTATATGTATGTATGTGTATATGTATTTTTGCAGTACTGGGGATTGAACTCAGGGCCTCATGCTTGCAAAGAAAGTGCTCTAACACCTGAGCCATGTCCCCACCCCTTTTGCTTTTATTTTTTTTTTAAGGGGTAGTTTGTTAGTTTTATTTATTTATTTTTTTTATTATTCATATGTGCATACAAGGCTTGGGTCATTTCTCCCCCCTGCACCCACCCCCTCCCTTACCACCCACTCCGCCCCCTCCCTCTCCCCCCTACCCCCTCAATACCCAGCAGAATTAGAAATTTTGCCCTTATTTCTAATTTTGTTGTAGAGAGAGTATAAGCCATAATAGGAAGGAACAAGTGTTTTTGCTGGTTGAGATAAGGATAGCTATACAGGGTATTGACTCACATTGATTCCTGTGCGTGTGTTACCTTCTAGGTTAATTCTTTTTGATCTCACCTTTTCTCTAGTTCCTGGTCCCTTTTCCTATTGGCCTCAGTTGCTTTTTAAGGTATCTGCTTTAGTTTCTCTGCTTTAAGGCAACAAATGCTAACTAATTTTTTAGTGTCTTACGTATCCTCACCCCTCCCTTGTGTGCTAAAA